AACAAACCTCACTTTCACTAACACTGATTGACCAACTCCAACACAGTTCATGTGAGTTACCACCTCTCTCCTTTCTCTCACTCGCCAAGACTACTTCTTCATTTTGAGCTGGCTGGGTTGCACCAGGACCCTGTGAGGCAGCAGGGAGACTGAACCTTTAGCACTCTGTCTCATGCAATATTTATACATGGATAATCACAGCTTTTTAAAATGCATTTTTGCATTCTTAACTGTTTTTCTCTGTTGCGTTTTCTTTTCTCCTACCTTTCCATGCTACTCTCAAAGGGAAATAGCTTGCTGTGGTTGGTGAGGCTTCAGGACCACAAGAGAGAGGAAGAAGAGGAAGGGGAAGCAGGTGTAGGAGGCAAGGGAGAGCTTTCCTTTGGCCCTCTGAAGCTTCACTGAAAAATCGATGCACAAAAGGTAGATTAATAGGAGAAAAGGTGTACCGATTTTTTAATGTGTATATTAGATATACACATTAACGTGGGAACCTTCAGAAGGAAGATCCCAAAATGGGGAAATTTTCCATTTTTATGCTTAGGTTCAATAAAATATGGACAGACATGTAGAAATGTGATTCAATTAAAAAGGTATGATCTAATGCTAGTGGACTGAGTGGGGAAACCCACCAAGGCCTGTCCATCTAGCTGCTTCTTGACCTCTCTGTAGCATTCTTTCCTTCTGGGTGTGGGGGAGAACCCTCTCTGGCATGGGCTACAGTCGGACAAGGTAGGTCAGATCATTTCTTTTTGGCCAATTTTTACCTAGAAGGGCAGATGGAAAGTTAGAGTTATATTTTTAGGTTTTAAGGCTGGCTTTGGGGAAATGGGGTTCTGGTTTCCATGACCTGCACGAGGGAAGAGATTCTAGTTTCTATGGCTAACCTGGGGGTGAATGGGATTGAGAGACAGGAGGGCAGGAGAAAGAGAAACACTTCTGCTTCTGAAGCTTCTTCTGAGGCTTTCATTTTGGGGTATTGTTTTCTGGGCCCCCGTAGGGGGAAGACAGGGGCAGACATGTAACCAGGCTGAAAGTACATGTGAAATTAAAAATGGGATTCTGTTTCTGAAAACACCTGGGAAGGGTCTCAATAATGTTAAGTGAATCCAACTTAGATACTTAAGTGAGACACTCCGTATCATTTGCCAGCCATTCCAATTTGTATATATTTTTAAAAATGCGCAAGCTGCTAACTCTAGGAGTACAGCAATGGTCTGTGTGGAACACATTTACAAGATTTTAGCTGAGGCTTTGATTTTTAACCGTGAGTTTATATACACACATGTTGTTTAGTAGCAGTAGAAATGAATGATGTCTTTTGTCATTGCTTTGTTTTACTTCAAGAAACACAAGGCTAACCTGGCGTGGTGGCTCATGCCTGTAATCCCAGCACTTTGGGAGGCCAAGGCAGGTGAATCACCTGAGGTTGGGAGTTCAAGATCAGCCTGGCCAACATGGTGAAACCCCATCTCTACTAAAAATACAAAAATTAGCCAGGTGTGGTGGCAGGTGCCTGTAATCCCAGGTACTGGGGAGGCTAAGGCAGGAGAATCACTTGAACCTTGAACCTGAGAGGCAGAGGCTGTAGTGAGCTGAGATTGCATCACTGCACTCCAGCCTGGGTGACAGAGCAAGACTCTGTCTCAAAAAAAAAAGGAAAAAGAAAAGAAACACAGGCCACAGGCACAGGCTCAATGGCTCATGCCTGTAATCCTAGCACTTTGGAAGGCCGAAGATGGGCAGATTGCTTTAGTCCAGGAGTTTGAAATGAGCCTGGGCAACATGGCAAAACCCCATCTCTAACCCCCCAAAAATAGATAAATACAAAAACTTGGTGTGGTGGCACCTCCTCAACTTCAAAGGTTGAGGTGGGAGGATGGTTTGAGACCAGGAAGCAGAGTTTGTAGTGAGCTAAGATTGTACCACATCACTCCAGCCTGGGTGACAGACAGAGACCTATTGGTCAGGAGGGATGGATAAAGAGAAGAGAAAAGAAAAGAAAACCCTGCAGAATCTCAGATTTGCTTTGCTCAGGGCAATGTAGCACATGAAGTTAAGAACATGCTGCTCAAATACTTAAAAGTGAGATTTGTAGACTAGCAGAATTAGCATCCATGAGAAGAAATCAGATTCTCAAACTGACCCAGAGACCAGCTGAATTCGAGTCTGCATTTTAACCAGATGCCCTGGCAATCCATGTGCTCACAGCAGTGTGTGAGGAGCATTGGCTAAGAGTCTGGGCTCTGACCCTGCCTTGCTCTGTGACCTTGGACAGTTGTCTTAACTTCTCTGAACCTCTGCTTCCTCACCTTTAAAAAACACATTGTAAAAGTAGCTACTTAATATAGTTACTGTGAAGATGAATGATAACCCGTGATTTGGTAATAGCATGCATGCAATAGAACATTCTGTGTGAAGAGACCAGGGCCTAGAACGATGTAAGTGCTCAACATGTGTTAAATATTATTGTTAGACAAGTAAATAAAGGACTCTCTCTCTCTCTCTCTCTCTCTCTCTCTCTCTCTCTCTCTCTCTCTCTCTCTCTCTCCCTCCCTCCCTCCCTCCCTCCCTCCATATAGATATAGATATATATATAGATATAGATATTTTTTTTTTCCCCCTGAGACAGAGTCTTGCTCTGTGGCCAGGCTGGAGCGCAGTGATGCAGTCTTGGCTCACTGCAACCTCTGCCTCCTGGGTTCAAGTGACCCTTCTGCCTCAGCCTGCTGAGTTGCTGGGACTACAGGCGTGTGCCACCGCGCCCGGCTAATTTTTGTATTTTTAGTAGAGACGGGGTTTCACCATGTTGGCCAGGATGGTCTCAATCTCTTGACCTTGTGATCTGCCTGCCGTGGCCTCCCAAAGTGCTGGGATTACAGGCATGAGCCACCGCGCCTGGCCCACTCAACATGTATTTACCACATGCTTCCTGGATGCCAAGAACTCTTTTAGGCACTGGGACATGGCAATGAAGCAACAGACAATATTCTTGTCTTTATGAATTGATATCTTAGTGATGCCTACAAATGGCAGAGAGACTGATTTTATTCCAGGAAAGTAATCTTAGGCTTTCAGTACATATTAATTTTATTGAACAAATGTATTCCTCCAGACATTTTGGCTATTACTATTGGAGCAGTGATGAGTTGAGGATTATCTGTCTTATTATAACTTTATAAATTACAGGTTGTAGAATGTTTGCCTTTGCCAAGAACAAAATAAACTTATTTGTCTTTTATTTTTTTTTTTTTTTTTTTGAGCTCAGCAAATACTGTCCTCCTACTGCTTGGAGAATACAGTCCCAGCTCCTCCTCATACTGAGCAGGATTCTCCAGCTTCATCTGTGTCATCCTCTGTCTAGCTCTCATGCTTACTGGTTGTGACTTCTTTCCTGAAAGCTCTTAGCAGTGTTCTTGGCACGAAGTAAGCACTTGCTAAATATTAGCTCATATTACCCAAATCTTTTTTCACACACTTTCCTCTCTTTCTGGGATCCAACTCCAAAGTGCCCATTAAAGCCCAGCTAAATATTTGAATCTTTAAGGAAGGATGGAAATCGCTGCTGCTACCTCTCTGCTTTCTCAGCACTTTCTCTCTTTGCATTTGAGTGAAGGTAAGTGGCCAAGTGGAGTAGCCTCTTTGTGAGCCCTGGAGGGAGGGCCAGGACTTGGTCTTCTGGCTCCACTCCCTTAGCCAGGGCCTAGCAGCATTTGCAGTAGTTGCTAAACTGAGTTGCTGAAAATCCATTTATGGCACCTGCAGAGCACAGTAAAAAGGCAAACAGCCATGCTCAATTTCAGATTCAGAGGCTCTCCATGGGGGCCTTGGAAATTGCCAGAGCAAGTTGTGGCCTTTAATAATAGGATTTTGTGACCCTCTATGGAAAGGAAGTGATGTTTAAAAAAATATATAAAGAAAATGACTCATAGGAAACTCTAAGAAACACCAAGAAGAGGCACTTAGAAGAAGAGCTCACAGCATTTGGAGAAGTAGCAGTTAAGCACCGTAGGTTACTCTCAGAATCATGACCTCACCAGCAACAGCCAAGACTGGGGCCTGGGACTCCTTAGAGGGGTAAGGGGGCACCCTAATCCTGGTGACTGAGAAACAAAGGAGTCACGCTGCCTACATTTTGTTGTGTCCTTCAGATTCTGTATGTGTGTGTATATGCCCCCATGCAGGCATATACACACACATAACTATGTGTACACACAGGCACATGTACACACATACATGTGGACATGCACACACTCCCTGCACATACTCATACTACCCACACAAAGGCAGATAGAAACATAGAAATTAAGGCAAACATAAATGAAAATACAAATCTGAGCACATTCAAAAGAGAGAGCAGAGTGGTAAGGAAATCTGAGACCACACTGCATGAGGAAGTGATGGAGGTGTTTAGCCAGGAAGAATGTCCATGGTAGCCTGGGTACCTTCTTCTAAGCACATAGAGTCCCGACTTATCGAAGAAATACTAGGATTCTTTTAAATGAAGCAAAGAGGTAACAAGTCAAGTTGGAACTCCAGACAGTTGGAAGTTCCAGGAAGATTTCGGCTCTGCGTGATAGGCTATAGGGTGCAGAGCCAGAGTCTAAATTTGGAATCATCTCTTGTATTTTTGACTTTTGTCTCTGTCACTTAAAAACTGGCCCATCGTAGGCAACTTACTTTATCTCTCTGAGCCTGCATTTTCCCATTTATCAAATGGGACCAATAAATACACCTACTTTCTATGAAGTTTAAATGACCCATGGCTTGGAAGAGCTTATCACAGTGCAAGTTTAAGCTTTAAGTCCCACTAAACCTGGATCTTCCTCTGGAGTTGTGCATCAAGGCAACTGGGGCCATCGCCTTTATTTTGATTTAAGAGGCGCTCTGGAGAGCTGCTCTCTGAACCTACGTCCAAGTGTGTCTCCAGGAAGGACAAAGGGGAGGCCTATAATTATCTCCGCCTAACAAGTCAGTCTTTTTTTGTAACCTTTCTCCAGCCTCCTGGAAAACGACCGGCTGGTTGGTCTGTGCAAGCAAAAGTCGACGTGTACCTGTGGCTGGGCTCCATCAAGCATGCCAGTGCCATTTTGGACAACTTGCCCACAGGCTATGAAGCAGAAATGTCCTCCAAAGGGGCTGGCACCAATCAACCCCCTTCCAAACTATACTACCAAGGTACGGTCGGTCCCCAGTCCTCCAAAAGGGCTGGCACCAATCACCCTCCCCATCCAACCTACATTACCAAGGTAGAGTCCCCTTGGACAAAGAGGGTCATTTGAGGTCTCAGGTGGGCTTCTGAAAAGGGAATTCGGAGGGCAGCATGCATGAGTGTTTTGCACATTATTTTAGGGTAACTTATTGGCCTTCTCCAGTACAGTTTCTAAGTGTTCTACCTTCCCGTCCAACGTCCCATCTGAAGTATCATTAAACACATCTGGAAGAAACATTTATGTTTCTCTGTGAATAAAGAGGGAGCAATTAGTAAGCAGATTATGTAGGTTGAGTTTGTGTTTTAAGCAAAAATATGAGAACGTCAATAAGTTCTTGTGCTCATGTGATCTGTGGAATTAAGGCAGATTTTACTTTTATGTGCATGGGGGTTTTGACATGTCAACAGCAGATATTCGTATTTCCTAGTAGTAACCCAGTGGTGACTGGTATCAGTAGGTTCACTCATATTTCTCCAGCTTGGTTCTTGGCTGCTCTTTTTTTTTGAGATGGAGTTTCACTCTCGTTACCCAGGCTGGAGTGCAATGGTGCGGTCTCAGCTCACTGCAACCTCCGCCTCCTGGGTTCAGGCAATTCTCCTGTCTCAGCCTCCTGAGTAGCTGGGATTACAGGCACACGCCACCATGACCAGCTAATTTTTTGTATTTTTAGTAGAGACCGGGTTTCACCATGTTGACCAGGATGGTCTCGATCTCCTGACCTCGTGATCCACCCGCCTCGGCCTCCCAAAGTGCTGGGATTACAGGCTTGAACCACCGTGCCTGGCTGGCTTGGCTACTTTTAAAATTCAGCATGCTTTATGGAATCCTTCCTTCCATGTGGTTATTTTCTGTAAGTGCCATCATGCTTATGTTTTGATGCATTTTAAATTTTATTATAAATATTCCTTACAATTTGCATTTTTCTTTCTGCTTCCAAATTACTTCCATTTATGTTATCTCTTGCTGCTGAGTTCAGGAAAAGCAGCCTGTAATTTTACCTTCATTTCTGCTGAAGTTGAGTTTTGGGTTGAGCCTGTGTTGGAAACACTGGGGAACTGTCTGCACACTCAGTTCTCCTCAGTTGCCCACGGCTCCTCTGATTGGTTGGTTGACCTAGACTGCCAGTGGAATCAAAGCTGCTCAATAGTTAGAGAAGACAAGGCTCTGGAAATACATATCCAATGGCTCAGCTCATGGTTTCTATGCCCATTATAAATGCACACCAACATTGTCTTTTTGGAAAATATATAATACCACACGCCAAGCATTGTGCCTTATACTTTATGCATAATATCTCACTGATTTCTCACATCAACCTTGGGAAGACTCTTCATCTTACAGATGAAGAAAGTTATGTATAAGAGATGCTTAGAAATTGCCCAAAATCACACGGCTCATAAATCATGGGGAAAAAATGTCTCCAAACCCTGCTTTCTTTCTAGTGTCTTCCACCATACCTTAAGAGAGTTTTCATCTTTGGGTAAAAAACATTCACATTAACTTGATAGGAAAAAACAGGAAGCTAACTTGGCTTCCTATTTTTATGGACTATCTCTAGAGACCCAGGGCCCAAGGACCTGGACTGGTTGCTGTCCCAGCTATTAACAATTCAAAAAAGAGGAGAGACTTTTCCCAGTGCTTTCTGATGCTCTGCGGTGTATTGTTTTCATAGAGTGACCTAATAAACTTTTCCTGCTGTGCACTGGCATTGATGACTTTGGCTGCCTTCCATACCTACTGGAGAATTTTGAAAATACTTGTTCAGCAAATAATTAGTTTGCACCTGTATATAGAAGACATGGTGGAAAAACTAGCGGTCAACATAGAGATGAGTGAGAGGTGATTCTGGCCCTCAAGTGGAGAGAGTCAGATACTTCTCTCATAACCACAAGTAAAAAGCAAGCTATTGGCACAAGAAGTGTACCAATAAAGTGTGCAGAGGGTAACTAGGTTAGTCCAAAGGACAGAAGTAGTAAGACTCCAGGTTTCAGAAAAGTAAAATAGGGATCCCTGGTAAATAGGGATCCCTGGAACTGTGCAGAGCACAGCTTGTGTGGCTGCCATTGGTGGGGGCACGGAGATCTGCTAAAATTACAGGGTTAGTCATTTCAGGGGCAGCTGATGAACATTTTTATGGGGTGAACCATTTCCAAGTTCACTCTCAGCTGAGAAGTTTGCTGAACTATGTAGCATGCTAAGGAACACATGGGTCATCTCTAGACACACTCCTTTCAGCAAATCCCCGTGCCATCTGCTGAACATTCCGTCATTTACTTTTGCCATTTTAAGGGCGTCCCTTGCCAGCAGGGCCCAGCCTGTCATGAGGGTTAATTGGTGTATGGGACAGAGGGAGGGGTTAGAATTGGGCCCAAAGGAATCACTTTTCTGGTTCCTCTCCCTTGACAGAGTGCGGAGAACTTTCACTACAAGTACCCAGACTTAACTGAGAAGTGTGCAGAGTTCAAGTTTCCAAATCCTTTTCAGGATGAGAGTGGGTCTGATATGGTTGCTACATTCTCAGGTTCCATATTGGTCCCCATGCAGCCAGTGGCATGGGGTGGAGGGTGGAGGGACAGCACGTGCGTGAGCCTCAACACAATTTGTCGTTGGCACCCCTTGCCTTTCCTGTCCTTCCTCACCCTGCCAGTCAGGGCTCAAGGCCTGTAGCACCCAGGGCTGCCATGTCCTTCCCATCCCCTCATTTCCATCCCTTCCTCCAGTGCATAAGCTCTGGCCCTTAAACTTCTGTCCTAGAGGGGTGGTGGTGTCTCCTTTTTGGTTCCCCTGCCTGACACCTCGTCTGTCCATGGCTAGCTCGACTCAGTTGTATCCTCCTGAAGTTTTGGTCTGCTACCATCAGCTTCTGTGCACAGACCTTCAAGAGCTACCTCTCACCTCGTTCAGGCCTCATAGGTTCTCAATGATATAACTATAGCTGTTTGTGTCCCTAGACTCTAGACAAACTGGACTACACTCTTGCCCCATGTGGCCTGGTGTTTTGACTGTCTTGACTCATCCTGCTCCAGTGTCCTGGGACCTCCATCCCTGCCTCCCAAATGTTATCATCCTTTAGGGCTCTGCTCAAAGGGCAGCACCACCTCCCCTGTGGTCTGCCCCTTTTTCTTTGAATGTGCTTTGGCTAATGTAAATGATTCCTTTGCGTGCACATATTCTTACTTTACATGGATAGTGCTGTGTCTCCTAACTCATGCTGTTTTGTTTTCTTTTGCTAAGCACTTAAATTGTTGAGATCCATCCATTTTGCCATGTGTATCTCTAATCCATTGCTCCTAGCTGCTTTCCCAAACTCCCTGACATTTTTCCTATCTACTACCCCAGTGATGGACACGCAGCTTGCTTCCAGGTGCTCACCACAGGTCACATTGCAATGAGCAGTAGTAACCACCCTCTAGCATCTTCACCCCACTTCTCGAGTTCTTCCCATGTGCCAGACACCATTCTCGGCCCTTCAGTTCCCTTCAATAACCCTATGATGAACTATTATTACCTCCATTTTACAAATAAAGAAATCAAGGCACTCTAATAAAGCATTAGTAGCCATGTAGAAGTCCCCTTACAGACCCGTGTGATATCAGTCTAGGGATGGCATTGTGGGGGGGCGGGGAGTTCACAGGGTATTTGTACCCTGAATTTAACTAAGTAGAGTGATTCAGATTAGTGCATGAGAGTTTCTGTATCCCACTCCCCAATTCAGCACAAAAACACACACTGAACACAGTAGCTTTGGGAGAGTCAGGGAAAATGGGAGTGGGTAAAGAAGTAAAAAGGGGCACGTGAATATACAAACCAAGAGGTTCCCTGCGAGAGGCCATGATCAGAAAGTGCCATGGACCAAGGACTGTGATGAACACAACTCTTACTTTCAGTTTCCCCACTGAACCCTGAGCTGCCCCAGCCTTAGGCCTTCTCTCTGCCTCCTATCCTGGCACAGTGTGCTCACTCCTGCCCTCTTCCCCCGTGTCCCTTGCCAGCATTCTCACAGGACACTTATTCCCAGCCTCCCCCTGCCACTGTGATGTGGGTCCTTGTCTTATCTTCTGCCTTCTCCCAGGAGCTCCCCAGGGGCAGGGACTATTTTAGCATGGAATCCTCAGAGATCAAGACCAAGACTCTGCACAGTAGGTACTCCAAAGGACCCCGGCTGGCTAAATGGAAAATGAGTGAATGGATGACTTGAGATATAGATTGTGTTTATTGACATGAAAACTGTGGAGCAGCCCCTTTCTCAATCTCTCTCTCTCTCTCTCACACACACACACATGCACACGCGCGCGCGCGCACACACACACACACACACACTAATACCTGTATAAACAGGAGAATTACTAGGGAGTAAAATGTGGTATTTTAGAAAGAGAAGGGGATTTTAGAATCAGACAGAAATAAAAATCCTGACTCTGGCATGTGTTAATTGTACAAACTTTTGAAATGCTTTTAACGCTGTTGTGGGCCATTTTTCCTCATGTATAAAGTGGAGATCATGCTATTTCACACGGGTTTTGTGAAGAATAAGACACATGACATAACCTGGTGAAGGCACCAACGAAGATGCCTGGGTACACAGTCCCCCACAAATATCACCTCTTCCCTTTCTTTGGGGCTTCCATTCCAGTCTCAGAGGAGGGTGGATGTGATTGGTGGTCTCTTTGTGTGTGTCCGTGGATACACAGATGGACATCACACACAGACACATATGTGTACATGCTGTTCTTGAAAAGCCCGCTAACACCTGCCCCCTTCCATGATTTGTCCACAGACCGGCATAGTTTTCAGCTGAGAGCTCACATGTACCAAGCCCGGGGCCTCATCGCGGCTGACAGCAGTGGACTTTCAGACCCTTTTGCCAAAGTCACGTTCCTTTCTCACTGCCAGACCACAAAGGTAACCAGGGTAACCACGACAGCCTGCTTTCTTCCTGCAGCCTGCAACTGATCCCCGGAAGAGCCCAGGAAGGAAAAACATGGGGGCATGTTGCAAATAGCTGCACCTTTGGGTGTGTAGATGTTTCAGACTGAAAAGTGAATATATGCCTAGAAGGACTGACGTGCAGTAGGTCTATTGTTTCACTGTTATTCATTGTCCTAGGGCAAAGGAAGCAAGTCCCTGAGACAAAGGAAGGGTAGGAGAAAAAGAGGAGTGGGGAGGAGAAGCAGAACCTGGAACTCCCAGGGTACCTGCTGAAGTGCCAGGCACAAGGCCAAGTGCAGTGGGGAAGGAGCAAATGAGGAAACAGCAAAGACAACCTGCATGAGGTTTATGATCCAGTCATTATGAGGGGGTCTCAGAGGGGAGAAACATTTTCCAGTTTTGTGGTCATGCTCTGGAATTTGCACTCAGCCCCTGGGGAGATTCGCATGCTTTTAACGTCTCTATGCGTCAGAGTCCCCCTCCTCCGGAAAATACTACTTCCTAATGGAGGTTGTGAGTATTAAGGGAGATGGCTTGTCTTAATCTGTTTAGTGTTGCTTATAACAGAATCCCTGAAACTGAATAATTTATAAAGAAAAGGAGCTGGGCGCGGTGGCTCACGCCTGTAGTCCAAGCACTTTGGGAGGCCAAGGTGGGCAGATCGTGAGATCAAGACATCGAGACCATCATGGCCTACGTGGTGAAACTGCCTATACTAAAAATACAAAAATTAGCTGGGAGTGGTGGTGGGTGCCTATAGTCCCAGCCACTCAGGAGGCTGAGGCAGGAGAATCACTTGAACCTGGGAGGCAGAGGTTGCAGTGAGCTGAGATGGTGCCGCTGCACTCACTCCAGCCTGGTGACAGAGAGAGACTTCGTCTCAAAAAAAAAAAAAAGGAATGTATTTTTTACACTTATGGAAGCTGGAGGTCCAAGGTTGAGGAGCCATATCTGTTGAGGGCCTTCTTGCTGGTGGGACCCTGCAGCTTCTGAGGCAGTGTGGGGCATCTCATGGCATCCCACGGTGAGGGGGCTGAGCATGCTAATATGCTCACTCAGGCCTCTCATCTGAAGCCACCAGCTCCCCTCCCATGACAACCCATTAATCCATAGATGAATCCATTTGTGAGGGCAGATTCCTCGTGACCCAAACACCTCTTAAAGGCCCCACCTCTCAATACTGTGACATTGGAAATTAAATTTCAATGTGAGTTTTAGAAAAGACAAATATGCAAATCACAGTATGGATTCTGCCTGTTTCCTTTGTCTTAGGAATGTAATAAGGATTCCCGATCAGAGAAAGTATAGTAGGATGCTTTTCTCATTAGATTATATTGTCTAAATTTACTCTGTTCTCAGATTTGCAGTTTGCAGAGAGAGAAGCTCAGTAAAGAACTGCCCATTTAGGGAGTTAGCACACTAAGTGTCCTAGGGTGACTTTCTAGCTCTTCTCCTCTCTGACTGCACATCTTTGGGCAACTAATACAACTCGCTAAACCTCAGGTTTGTCATCTTAAAATGGGACTGTCATGAAAAGGCAAATAGTTTATCAAATGATGGATAGATGCTGGCCATGACATTGGCTGATGTTGAGAGGGCTGACGATTTTCTCCAGGGCAAAGCCCATGACCTGGATGATAGATGAGACTGCATTTTGATTTATGACTCACAGACTGACAGCATGTTGTGAACCAGCCTCACGTGTGTTTAACCAGTGCCTGTCGGGTGCTGGCTTTTGCCAGGCCACATGCTGGGCTCTGGAGGATGGGAGGAACCAGACTCTGCTCCAGGGTAATATGCAGTCCAGGCATGGATACCAGCTTCATGACAGCTGAGGCACTACACTATGATAAGCCAGGGTGCAGGGCCATACAGAGTCCTACAGGAGCCAAGCAGAGAAAAGGTTAGTTCGACCAGGGAGGGAAGTCAGGGGAAACCTCAGAAGGAAGGCGACATCATCCTCATTCAGTGACTGAGCATAAAAATGTGAAGACAACAGACTACTTTCTCTTTCCTGAGTTTTGAGTCAGTATGCAGCATGGTGATGATGAGTATAGACTCTAGAGCTGCACTGCCTGGCTTGAAATCCAGGCTCTTCCATTTATCAGCTCTGTGACTTTAAACAAATATCTCTTTGTGCCTCAACTTCTTTATCTGTGAAATAGGGATGATAACCTTGTGCATTCCTTCCAGAGAATAAAATACCCAGGACAGTACCTTGCTTAAAACTAAGGCTACTGTGTGATTGCTTATTGTTATTGCCATTGAGGCTTCCTTCCAACAGCAAGGGAGTTCTCATAGGATGGACACTACAGCACCGTGGAATTCCAGGGCCCTGAGTGGAGCACAGGATTTGGATGAAATCCTTGCTCTGCGGTGTAATTATCCTTCTATTTTGCATCTCGATACAGCATCTTCATTTGACTTAAATTCGTATCTCAAAGGAACTGATGGCTTTTGTTTATCAAATTGTTTGAAAGGGAAAATAGGTTCTGTTGAGTTCTGGACTTTGTCTTCATAACTTCAAGCCAAGTACCTCATTTTTGTTAATAATAATAGCTGCTATTTACTAAAAGCTCCCACGTGCTGGGCAGAATGCTACGCATTTCATATGCATTGTTTGCTATACCTCACTGCAGCCCAAAGCTGGATGTTATTAGTGTCTTCATTCTACAGATGAGGAAGGTAAGGCTCGAAAATGATGTAGCTAGAAGACGGTGGAACCAACATGGAAACCCAGGTCCGTCCAATTCCAAAGTCACTTTGCTTCACCACTCTACTTCCATTTTAGTAAGAAAGGATGCAAATTCTCCTCTCCTGTTTCACTTCTGTGCTACCACAGAGGGACTTGTCTGCAGGTGACCTGCCCCTTTTATATATTTATCTTACTTCCTTTCTCTCTTTTTCTTTCTCTCTTTCTCTCCCTCCATCCCTCTCTCCTTCCTTCCCTCCCTCCCTTCCCCCCTCCCTTCCTTCCCTCCCTCCCTCCCTTCCCCCCTCCATTCCTTCCCTCCCTCCCTTCTCTCTCTCTCTCTTTTTCTTTTCCTCTCTTTTCTTCATTCCTTCATTCATTTTCTCTTTCCTTCTGATGGAGTCTTGCTCTGTTGCCCAGGTTGGAGTGCAGTGGCACAATCTCGGCTCATTGCAACCTCCACCTCTCAGGTTCAAGAAATTCTCCTGCCTCAGCCTCCTAAGCAGCTGAATTACAGGCACATGCCACTATGCCCGGCTAATTTTTTGTAATTTTAGCAGAGATGGGATTTCACTGTGTTAGCTAGGATGGCCTTGATCTCCTGACCTTGTGATCTGCCCACGTTGGCCTCCCAAAGTGCTAGGAGGATTACAGACGTGAGCCACTGCACCAGGCCTATGTAGTTTTCATGATGAGGAAAGCTGAGCCTGGGCTTCTGCAGTCAAAGTCAAGTGCCATTCAGCTGGTAGCACTCACCTGACCACAGGGTCCTCAGGGAGAACAAGCCTCTGAAGGCTGTTCCTGAAAACCAATGCTTTATAAAGTGACTTAATGTAATGAAATATTTCAAAGAGGGGAATCCAGTCATTCCCATCATCAGTGGGGACATAGGACACAGAAATCTTGCGACTGAAGTGCAAAGGGAAAGACAGAAAGCTCCTGCAGAGAAAGGCTTCCAGGATGGAAGAGGGAAAAGGACTGAGTGGCTAAGAGGGAGCATTAGAGGAGAAGGGGAGGAATCCTTAGAGGGTGGAGCATGGAACCTGCAATTTCCAACAACCAGAGTGGGGCTCAGTCCTGAAGACATGGATGGTCTTTTACCCCAGTGCACCAAGGCTGCCATGTGGCAAGTGTTCAGTAAATGTTTACTCATTTATAAAAGAATATGGGCTGGGATGGGTAACAAGCCATTATTGAGCACCTGATGTGTGCCAGGCACTTAATATTCTTGGATAGTGGTCATAACCCCACAAGGTAGGTGCTAACCACATTTAAGTGAGGAAAACTAAGGTTTGGAGGGTTCATCTCCAATCTGCCCAACTTGAACACTGGGTAGGTAATGAAACTAGAATTTCACTCCAGAGTCACCTGATTCTATCTCTGTCCGTGATAGCTGGCTTCCTCATCAAAGTGTGAGATAAGTGCTACCATAACTTCCAAATAATGTCATTTAACCCAGTTACAATGCATAACTCTTTAAGCCCTTAAGAAATGAGGCGAATCATAGGCACCTTGGCAGAGAAGTAGGATAATGTATTTTTGTTTGGGTGAACCTTTTAGCACCTCCTGAAGATGGTCACGCAGTCCTTTTACCCATGGGAGCAACTCCTAGGACAGGTTAATACACATTTATTCATACAAATAGCTACTGAGCATCTGCTATGCACTGAGTGCTGTGTTAGTATCTAATACTGTGCCTGGCACGTTGTAGGTCTTGAATACTATGTTTATATAATGAACAGGGGAGTGAAAAGATGCTGGCCTCTGGAATCTTATCAAGTGGTATTTACAGCCCAGTGCCAAAGAAGACATCCAAATATTTCTATAGGAAAGATGCCGTGAAGATTATAAATGGCTTTGGTATCACACCATCGAGTGCATGCTACAAGATGGATCACCTTTCTATTTCGAAAAGCAAAATAAAAACACAGGGTTCTTTGTGATGTCACTGACACAGGGCAAGGTTGTGCTGCAGCTTCTTAATTCCTGTTATTAGTTGGTTGAAGCCATTCATTTCCTGTTGGAAAAGTTAGATTTTCTCCGAAATGTTATGTTTAAAATCTTGTTGTGTCTCAGACATAAAATACTCTAAAAGTGAAAAGAAGAAAAAGAAATTGAAAATGCACAATATTTTTTTCACCCACATAAATAAGAGCAATAAAAATATTATTTCTCTAAATATTATTCTCTAAATATGACTTAGTGCTGTGACTAGAAATGACTCGATGTAAAACGCTGGGATGACAGTTTGATGTGAGTTTTGGAGTCCGGGCCAGGTCTCTCTCCCTTCCTTCCTAGATTGAACAGTGACAAAGACACAGTTCAGACACTTCCCCAGGACCCAGCAGCTGCTGTGATACATTCACCTATGAAATCACTCATCTGCCTGGAAGAGAAAGAAATGTGGTTTTGAACACTTTCCAGGACTAGTCTCCTACATTAATGGGGGGGCTTCTGCCCAGGTGCAGAGTCCACTTGTCCTGTAAACAACTCCAATTTTCAGCTGTGTGAAACTGGCAGGTTTCCAAACATCCAATTAAATAGAAAAGAAAATGCAAGACCAAATATGCCCTCCCTTCTGAGAGCACCTCTCAAATGGCCTGGGAGGGGGCTGTGAGCCACTTCTAGGTGAGATGCTCATGGTACAAGGGCAATTATGTAGATTATTGTCCTCTGTATCTTTTGACTTCTCCATCTGTATAATGAGTATAGTCTACTATCAGTGTAAGAAAGATGTCATACAAAATGGTGAGGGTGGTTTTGAAAACTTTGATCTATTTAATTCGGTCAATAACCACAAAACAGTAGAATTCCACATAAGGAATATTAGGTCAAATACCCAACTTTAGGATATTTGGTGACAACATTTTGTTTGCTCCTAAGTCATGAATCATTGAATCTCCCTAATCCTCAGTGTTCTCATTCATAAAATGGAGACAATATTAGCATGTAGAAGGTGAGAGTGGATGAGGTTAGCAGCCTGGGATTTGCTGCCAGGTGGTCCAGGTGGAATCTCAGTTCTGCCACTTACTGGCTCTGGACAAGTGAGCCTCAGTTTCCTGATCTGGAAAATGCATGTAAACAACTGAATCCACCTCCCAGAATCACAATAGTGAGGGTTTAATGAGATAGTGCATGTGAAATTCAGTGTCCAGCACACCAGAAATGCTCAAAAAAGTAGCTCGCGTTGTCATTGAAACTACTGTGAGGACTGAGTTGAAAATGTATAGGCAAAGAGGGTGTTAAACATTGCAGGGGCTCTGCTCGTGAAACTTAAGAATGTAAGCTCCTCCATGGTAGGGAGTATTGCATTCCCTAGCATTGTTTAGTACATAGTACCTGCTCAGTTTATGTAGTCACTTAAATATTGAGTGAATGAGCAATCACAATGATGATGTGTTCTTTCTCCCCTGTACAAGTATTTCATGAATGAACCTTAGAGCTCCTACAACTCAACTGAATGATCTTTTGCTTTTTTTTGTCCTTCCTTCCAGATCATCTCCCAGACCCTCTCTCCAACCTGGAACCAGATGCTGCTGTTCAATGACTTGGTGCTACATGGAGATGTGAAGGAGCTGGCAGAGTCCCCGCCCTTAGTGGTGGTGGAGCTATACGACAGTGACGCCGTGGTGAGTGTCCCCCAGCCAGCGTTGATCACACCTCATAAAAAATGCCACGTTGAACTAACTCACTTGATTTTAAAGTAAATAAAGTCTTGACACTGTGAGTGGTGAGAACACTAGATGTACTTAGAGACAAACCTGACCTCTGAAAACAGTTCATAGACCAAAAATACTGGTGATGATCATTTGCTTTACTGAAAGAGTTTTTCACTGATTTCCCTTTAAATGGCAATTAAAATTGAATCTGGTTTGCAGAACTTTGGTCTACACACTTCTTCAGGAATATGATACTTGTTTAAAGCAATCTGCAGCTAATTCCAAGTTCTGTTTAATAAAAACGTCCACGCCTTTTGGAAAGAGGAGGTTTTTACTGATCTCACCTGGCTGAAAAGAAACGATGGGTATTCTCTTAGCCTTTCTGTGTTTCTTTTTCTCTTACTTGTTGCTTCTAAGCCCCATACAACATATTAATCTCTATCCCTTTTATGATGTGAACCAAACCTTTTGTTCTCCAAAGATGTTTGTGTGCTGAAACCTTGGATAGAGTCAAAGCTTACTGGAGGATTTTTTAAACTTACACAAATATTCTTTGCTTAAATTAGGAAGTCTACAATGAAAAGCAAGGGTTTCTTTATTTAATGTCTCTACCTCCTAACGAGGTTGCAGAAGCACGAATTTATTAAGTAAAATAGTTGTTCTGGGAAGCCTTCCTAAAGCTTCCCCGCCTCCTTGCAGCACTCCTGACAGCCCCTGCCTTTGGGCCAAGGTCAGAAGGGAATCAAGATGTGAGCATCACAGAAGAGCAGAAACCTTGGACACCATGAAGTTCCCATCTTGCTTCCTAGAGGAGGAAACAGACACAGAAAGCTCAAATACCTTCTTTACAGTCACAGCTGGTTGGAGGCTGAACCAGGTTCCCTGTGCACATTTTTGCCTGTGCAGGTGGTGGAGGCTAGTGTAGCCGTCTCTCTCCTATACATGCACATTCTAGTCCTACAAGGCACTCCCTTTCTCTGGGCCCCATTCTCCTATCTATAAATTGGGGCTAGATGTGTATATTTATGGAAGAGGATTTCTACTATTTAGCATGTAGTACAGATGTTCTGTAGGGAAGACCACAAAATAACTACCTTTTCAGTTTTTTTCCTAACAACATGCTTTCAATCGTTAGTGTTTATTTTCTATGTGGAAAACAATAATGGCAGTAGAGCGTCTTTGAACATTCCTGTTACAAATTTCCCTTTGCTTCCCCACTGCTTTTTATTTCCCTTTCAGATCCCCATTCAGCAGTAGCTTTTCCTGGCCCAACCCTAAGCTGAGCCCTTTACAGAGAAATTAAGCTGTGACATTATTGACTCTAAAGGGAAAAAGAAATGTGGGAGAGAAAGGAATATGAAAATACACACTTTGCTCCCAGAGAAATACATGTAGACATGCAAAAAAATTTAGTTTATCCTTGTGCACTTCATCTAAACAGGGCCCAAAATATGGTGATGCTCAGATTAATGGAATCAGAATCTGCTGGACCCATGCTTCCAGTCTAGAACCTTACCTCATTTCCCAGTGGCTTGTGCCCTCATAAGAGTCTGCTGGTTCTGGAAGAGATGAGTTTATATTCGGAAAACTGGTTGCTTGGGCTATGTTTACTCTTTTGAATTAACCATTCCCAGCTGGGTTAATGAACAAATTGTTAGGCAGATCACTCATTTCCTATCCAGCTGCCCTAACTCCACCCATCCCCAGGACAGGTCTGTCTCTACTAGTGGACACCAGCAGGCAGCTTTGTTTTCAAGTGTGGTTGAACAAAAGCCCTGTTTCCACATCAACCAAGTTATCTTCTACAGCTGGGGATGCACATGTTGCTTCAGGAGTCCAGAGACAATGAAGTAGTGTGACTGCTAAAACCCAGCCTCAGCCAAAAAGAACATGAGCACTGGCCTTGGATGGCAGAGGTCATTTACCCAACAGCTTTCACTCAGCAAACATGCATTGAGTATCTCCCTGTGCCAGGGGACACAACAGCGAATAGTACAGGCAACTCTGCCCACAAGGAGCTTACATTCTAGCAGTTCTTGAAATAAATAGCACAGCAGGATGACTGTACCAGCTGCCCCATGATGCCTCTGAAGGAATGTGCACACAGGCTTGCAGAATGGGCAGGCAGCAGAGCCATCACATAGTTCTTCTAGACACATATTTTAATATCCTTTTTACTACCAAGAAAAACAGGGCAGGAAAACCCATCACTTAAACGTATTGATCATTTTCATCATTACTCTGTATTGTAAACGTATTGATCATCTTCATCATTACTCTGTATTGGGCACTTGTATACCAGTCACTATGCTAAGCCTATACAGCATTCCTTTAGTCCTTGTGATGCTATGGAAAGGTATTATTTTTAACTCTTTTTTAGGCATGAGGCTCTCAGAGTTTGAGCAGCTGGCCCAAGGGCACAGAGCTAGAAAGTGGCAGATGTGAGAGCTCAAACTGAAGGCTTCCTGGCTCCAGAGGTCGTGCTCCCGGCTACATTGCTGCCCTGCCCTGGAGATCCTTTGGAATGTTTATTGCCACCTGACTTTCCCTTTTCCCCTTCCAGTCTTTCCTGGATAATTATTTTAATCATTTCCTACTGAGCTCAATATATGAGAAGAGAGATAGCCCCTAAGATAGCTTTGGGCCAGAAAGACCCTAGGTTAACCTTTTTTTTTGGTATGTGTGACAGAAATCTTGCTCTGTCACCGGGCTGGAGTGCAGTGGCACCATCTCGGTTCACTGCAACCTTGTGTCCCAGATTCAGCAATTCTCCTACCTCAGCCTCCCAAGTAGCTGGGACTACAGGTGTGCATCACCATGCCCAGCTAATTTTTGTATTTTTAGTAGAGACTATGAGGTTTCGCCATGTTGGCCAGGATGGTCTCGATCTCTTGACCTTGTGATCTGCCCACCTCAGCCTCTCAACATGCTGGAATTAAAGGCGTGAGCTACCACACCCAGCCAGGATGACCCTTTTAGGAACGTGAGTGGATCCCACTGCTCCCCCAGGCTTATGAAAATGAGCAGGAGGAGCTTGGCAGGAGAAGAGAGTGAGACGCGGATGCTGATGGTTTTGTGGAGGTTATTTGTAAAATTGCATTGATGTGGATCAGAACCAGGTAATTAACAATCAGGAAATAAAAACTCATTTCTTTTCTGCTTTAGGGGAAGCCAGAATATTTGGGTGCCACAGTGGCTGCTCCAGTGGTGAAGCTAGCTGACCAGGACTATGAGCCCCCCAGGTTATGCTATCACCCCATCTTTTGTGGGAACCTCTCTGGAGGGGATCTCCTTGCTGTATTTGAATTGCTACAGGTGAGTAAACCAGATGTGGCACCAGATGTCTATCAGGACTACCTGGGCAGGGAAGTGACCTCACTACAATGAAGCTGTAACCGATCCCTCACTGCAGTCCCACATCTGAATGTGTGTCCTGGGGATCTGAGAGGGGCACTTAAGAATTCAGGTGACTTGGACTATGCCCCTATTTCCTGAGCTTATAAGTCAGAATCTCAGGATGAAAGATTCTTGTGGTTTGGCCCCATTGTTCTCCCAGACACTCCAATTTGAAAATTCAGTAAGCCTTAGTTCTTTATACCATGTCTTTATCCCTAGCCAGGCCAGCTCCGTAGATTGTTCCTGGAATGGTTCCCATCCTCTGTTCCCTTGGGTTCTTTAGTTCTCATCTGAATGTTGCATTGGCTTCCTTGCTGGGCTACTGGCCTCCTTCGCTTTTCCTGTTCACTCCACCCTCCATTTTCCTTCCAGGACACTAGTTGGTGTTACCACTCTTCTCTCCAGAAATCTTGAGTGGCTCTTACTTCTTACCCAGGAACATTTCCCAAAATCTGGGTGTTTTTGGAACATCACTCCCTCCAAATACAGTGACAAGAAAGCTTGAGAAAGGCTTTGTATTACATCCCTCCTGGGGATCTGAAATGCCAGTTACCATGGTAAAGGAGCTGAGAAGTCTCGCAACAAACAACTTTTTTTAACTTCTTTTTCAAAACTTGATATTTCCCAAATATATTTGATCACAAAACATTTTTTCCTGGTAAGTGTTAATATTCCCTGAAGACAAAATCTGGGCCTTAGGAGATTCACATTTCTGTAGCCTGGCTATTAAGCTGTCCCCAAATTTGTCCTCAGACTACTTCTGTAGCCTCGCATTTTAGCATGTTTCTCTACACACTGCTGCCTGTTTATACAAGGCTACTGTCATTTCCCTGCTCTCACAACACACATTTACTCTTCTGCTTTTCGGGGTGCTGCTAGCCCGTTCTGAAATGTCTCCTCACTCTGCTCACTCCAACCTCTACGACTGTATTTGCTGCTCTAGGAAAATGCTCATCAAAGTTCAGAGCAAGAGATGCCTTTCAGTGGAATTACCCCGCCCCACCTCAATTAAATGTCCTTTCCTCCAGCCTATACCTTTTTTCTGTTGAATTCAGGCTATGGTAAGGTCAGCTGTCTTTTCTTGTCTGTAAGTTTTTGAAAGGCACTCATTCATTCATGCACTCAAATATGTATTGAGTATCCACTATGTGGCATGTATATTCCTAAGGAATCTTCCTAAATGAACAAAACAAACAGATCTCCCAGCTCTCACAGGACTAAGTCTAGTTAGAGGGAGACAATAGACAACACTACATAAAGTATAGCAACAGTATGCAAATTACATAGTAGGCTACAGTGTGGCAGCTGGTGAGGAGAAAAGCTGGACCCCTGGTGAGATGTGAAGTGGACATGTGTATGTTGGGAGCAGGGCCAGAGTTAGCGTTTTTGGTACATGGGGCAGCCCCAGTGAGAAAGTGGTATTTAAGACAACACCTGAAGAAGGAAAGGGACTGGACCATGCAGCTAAGTGGGCAAAGAGCCTTTAGATGCAGAGGGAAAAGCAAAGACCAGAACCCGAAGCCTCCGTGTGCCTGGCATGCTCAGGGAGGCCAGTGTGGCTAGAGTGGACAAATGACAGGAAGGGGAAGGGAGATGAGGCCAATGGGAAAAGATCACATGGGGTCTGGTAAGGACTTTGGCTTTTATTCTGGGAGAGATGGGAAGCCAAGAGAGGACTCTTGGCACGATGACTTATGTTGCAACACGAAGGTGCTAGATCCAGTACATTTCGAAGGGGTAAGGAGAGAAGCAGAAAGGCCCATTGGAAGACTCTTGAATCTACTAAAGGCATCTTGAATCAATGTAGCCATGGAAAGGAAGAGACGTGGGCTCTGCATGTATTTTAAAGGTAGTCTTTTGGATCAACTGATGAGATTTGACATGTGAACTTTATCTCCACATCACACAGAAAAGCCAACAATATTTCACATATTGTAGACTCTCAGTAAAACATTTTGTGTGAGCCTGGTGGTTCAAACCTGTAGTTCCAGGACTTCAGGAGGCTGAGTTAGGAGGATCGCTTGAGCCCAGGAGTTTAAGACCAGCCTGGGCAATGTGGCAAGACCTCATCTCTACAAAAAATAAAAAATTCGCTGTGTGTGGTGGTGGAGGCTGCAGTGAGCTAAGATCATGCTACTGAACTCAAGCCTGGGTGACAGAGCAAGACCCTGTCTTGGAAAAAATAAAATGCATCTGTTTACTCTTTCAAAGAACAAACATTCACGGAATTCTGTGTGTGAGCCAGATTTCAACTGTTGGGCCATTTCCCAGGCCCTTCATAGCAATAACCCTTTCTGTGATCTCAGAATTATCTGCTGTTATTCACACTTTGGCCTTCTTTTCCATTCTCTATACTTACAACACTCGTTTCCTCTACTTTTATAATGTTTCTCTTGTTTTCAGAACTTCCTCTCTCCAATTAGAGTTTTCCTCTCTTCTGCTGCTTGAATGTCCTCCTTCTGGAAAGTTCACCTCCCTTTCTTCGAAGGTTTGCTTCCTGTGTTAGTTTACTATTGCTGTTCTAACGAATCACAGACATGGTGGCTTCAGACAACGCAGTTTACCATCTTACAGTTCTGCAGGTCAGATGTTTGAAAGGGTCCCTCATCCGGGCATGAGCAAGGCTGCATTCCTTCCAGAGGCTCTAGGGGAATCTGTTTCCCTGTCTTTTCTGGTTTCTGGGGATGGCCTGCATCCCTTGGCTGGCGGCCCTCCCTTTACCTTTAAGCCAGCCACACAGCTTCTTCAAGTCTCAGTCTCTCTCGGTTTCTTTCTCTCCTCAACCTCCTACCTACTTCCATTATCACATCTCCTCCTGCTCTGACTCTCCTGCTGCCGTCTCATGAGGACCCTCAAGATTACGTAGGGCCCACCCTGAAAACCCAGTATAAACTCCTCATCCCAAGGTCCTTAATTTAATCACACCTGCCACATCTCTTTTTGCCATGTAAGGTAACATACTTACAGGTTCTGAGGATCAGGATATGAACATCTTTGGGGAGCCATTATTTTACCCCAAACACTTCCCAATTCCTTGAAATATCTCCTTAGGCTTCCTACAGGGGTAGCGCATGACACATCCCTAGAAGGGGCCGCTGCTATTTGGTCTATGTGATGGCACCCCTTTTGATTGTTCAGTGTGCAGCCTTCATGGATTTATGTGTTAACTGCCTGCTTAGAATCCATTCTTCCCTTTCATTCAACTTTCTAGGAATCTTTCTCTTATCATCATGTGAGTGTTCTCTAATTTTTTCATTTATTTTTAATCATCTTTGTCTATATGGCATAGATTTAACCTAAGTTCTGTTGGCTTAAGAAATGAGATATTCTGTCCGGGCATGGTGGCTCACGCCTGTAATCCCAGCACTTTGGGAGGCCGAGACGGGTGGATCATGAGGTCAAGAGATCGAGACCCTCCTGGTCAACATGGTGAAACCGTCTCTACTAAAAATATAAGAAATTATCAGGGCATGGTGGTGCGTGCCTGTAATCCCAGCTACTCGGGAGGCTGAGACAGGAGAATTACCTGAACTCAGGAGGCAGAGGTTGCAGTGAGCCGAGATCGCGCCATTGCACTTCAGCCTGGGTAACAAGAGCTAAACTCCGTCTCAAAAAAAAAAAAAGAAATGAGATATTCTTCTCTGATGCTTGGCACTCATTAAGTCTTCTCATTGGAGTCTGAGTTAGATGATTTGATTAGCTTCAGACAGTATCTCTGTGTGATCTTTCTCCGTGTTTTAAAGGTAAAGTGTTATTAACAGTTTACTGACCTACTAGTGAAGACTTCGCAGAAGGCATCCACCCTAAAACAGGCGTAGTTAGGGGTCAGTGAGGGAAAGCTGGCTGATCCTTACATATGATTAAGAACTTCCAGGTTGGGCATGGTAACTCATGCCTATAATTCCAGCAGTTTGGGAGGCCAAGGCAGGTGCATTACCTGAGGTTAGGAGTTCAAGACCAGCCTGGCTAACATAGTGAAACCCTATCTTTACTAAAAATACAAAATTAACTGGGTGTGGTGGTACATGCCTGTAATCACAGCTACTAGGGAGGCTGAGGCAGGAGAATCGCTTGAACCCAGGAGGCAGAGGTTGCAGTGAGTGGGGATCATGCCACTGCACAACAGTGTGGGTGACAGAGTAAGACTCTGTCTCCAACAACAACAGCAGCAAACTTCCAGTAAAGGCCCTGCTCAAGCCCTGAAGACCATCTCCTCCAATCACCAGCTTTATCCCAGAGCTCACACTTACTCTTCTGCTGGCCAGCAAGTCAGCATATTTGGCTTCTGTCCACCTTCCTCCCTGGGTTGCACTGACTGCTGCAACTTCATCTAAGTGAAGGTATTCAGGTACGTTTCTGGCTTTGCCATAATCTCACTTTTTGATGTTGGGGCCATTAAATTTCCTCTTAGGTTTTTTTGTTTTGTTTGCCTGGGTTGGAAACAATTTTATTTCCACAAGCTGAAGGTATTATTCCATTGTTTGGGCTGTGCTTTCTTTTTTGAGAGGTTGGTTATCATTCTTATTGTTGCTCCTTAAAAAGTGCTCTTTATTTTTTCCCTTATCTGATTGATTTTAAGGTCTTTTTCTTTATTTTTGGTTTTTGGCAGTTTTACTATGTTGTAGTAAAGTGCAGTTTTCTTTGTTTTTATCTTGTTGGGTTTTATAGAACTTTTAAAAGCAGGGCTTGATGTTTTAAATTAGGTTTGGAAATTTGTCAGCCTTCATCTATTCAAAGATTGCTTCTGTTCAATCCTGTTCCTCCTCTTTTCTCTCCTCTCCTCTCTCTCCTCTCCTTGCCTCACCTCTTTTTGCCTCTCCTCTTTGCTGCTCCTCTGTGACTCCAATTAAACGTGTGTTAGATCTTTTAATTAGATATACTGTGCCTCTCATGTTCTTTTATGCATTGTCTATCATTTTGTCCCTCTGAGCTTTATTTTATCCATCATATGGCCTATCTTCCCGCTCATTTTCCCTGTCTCTTTTTAAAAACCTATTCACTAAGTTCTTCTTTCCAGTGACTATATCTTCAGTCGTAGAATTTCCATTTCTTCTTCTTTATTTTAGATTTCATTTATCTATTGGAATTTTTATCTGGTTTCCTATTTAACAGATTAAGCATTGTTACTTTGAAGCTCATATCTTATTACCACATTATCTGAATCCTTTAAGAGTCTGTTTCTTCGGTTCATATCTCTTGTTAATCACATTGTCTTATCTCTGTGCCTGCCATATTTTACTGCATGCTAGACACTTCTACATAAAAATATGTAGAAAAATTTGAGCCTAGGCTGCTATTTTCCTTCAGAGGATTTGAATTTACTTCTGAGGTAGTGTGGGACAGCTAGCACTCCCAGGTCATCTAGATCCAGTTAAGGATTAAGATGACTTGAAGCTGAGCTTTAATCTTTGCAAGGGTCTATAAATTTCCAGTTCTCTCTTATTCCTAGGGAACTCTCCATGTGCCAGAAAGTGTGTCAAGTGCTTTACAAGCTGTCTCAGCAACTCTTCACAACTTTATGAGTTAGATATTGTCTTCATTTTACAAATGACGGAATTGAGACTCTGAGATATTGAGTGTACTTTTCCAAGTTCATGCAGCTAGTAGTGGTGGAGCCCAAGTAACCACTGTACTGAAGGTGAGACACAGCAGAAGTATAAATTATGGGCTGAGGGAGAGAGAAAGGAGAAAGGCTTCTGAGCATCCGTGATTTTTCAGATGGGCAGGGCTGTGACCAGGGTCATGCAAGACCCCAAGAGTGACTGCCTCCTTAACTTTTGTACCATATGTGCCACTCTTGTTCACCCTTGTCCTGGCCCTGAAGCTGGACCTACTTTGAGGTCCTGATATTTTACTTCCAGGGGGATATTAGAGCAGTCTGGCTTTGAGACTTCTCTAATATCCCTGTGGATAACTACCCATCCTGCTCACCCCCAATTCTTACTATTTCACCCTCATAGCAATCGCTTATTTTTCCCTGGCCCTATGTGCTGAGTAACTGCATATCATATGTTTTATAGGCCAGCAACCAACACATTTCACTGGAAAAAGCTTAATCTTGGCTGGCGGAAAAGTCATTCAATTGCCACCATGTTACAGGATTCTTTCCGGGCTGTGTTGAGCTCTTCACAGCATTTTTCAGGCACTTACGGAGCAAAACTTCTTTGGCATTTCCCAGGCTGACACTTCAGCAGCCCCAGGATAAAACATATGATGCTTTTTAAAAAGCACATCCAGAGGCAGCCCCTCCTGTGCCACCATCACAGCTGTTTTGTAATTTTCCATTTGAAGCCAGAGGGGCTATTAACTTTCCCTGTGAGGTGATGCTTGCAGGCTAAATTGCTCACCTCTTCACTGCCAGGAAATAATGGGCATTGCCATCCTCATCATTTACCAGGTTCTTGATCTGGGTAGGTGCATCCTGCAGCTTCATTACCTTGAGTCTATTTTGCACTTGCAGTGCCTGTTCTCCTTTTTTTGAGCATTCTTATAATTAGCTTAACCACATCTGCTGTTGCCAACTAGAATATGTCTGTGAAAAAAGAAAATATATTTGCACTTTGCAGATTTTGATACACAATTAGGCTTTTTCTAGCATACGGAGCATGTGGCCTAATATGTCAGTCAACCAATAAACATTTATCAAGAATTCACTGCATATAGAGGGGCTTGGAGAATGAAAGGAATAAAGACTTCCTTTTGGCCCTGTAAATTGTTCAGGCAGACAAACAGCCCCAGTAAAGAGAACTACCTGCTCTAAAGCAATGTTTAATAGAACATCTGATTCCCAAGGAGCTTGATGGGTCATCTGGCTCAATATCTGAGGTTCAGAGAGGGCAAGTTACTTGTGCAGGGTCACACAGCAGAGCCTGATTTCTGGAATCAGTCCCCTAATTTCTGCACAAAATCTGTATAAGAGGACATATTGCATTCAAAAGGCATTTATGGCAGAAGCAGCTGGGATCAGGTCAGGAAAGCTTCTTTCACTTTTCTTTTTCTTTGGGGAAAGATTCTTGAAAGATGTATGTGTTGAACCAGGTTTTGAGGGCAGTGTGAGATGGCCTACACAGTGAAAAATACCCTTTTCTCAATAGCACGCTGTAAGTCCTTCGTGTGAAATTTCAGCAAAGCTGAAATTGACCTGAAGTTTCATTAACTCCAAGAGCACAAGAAGTGACATGTTTTCATCTTAGAGTTCTGCCTTCAAAACATTTTATTTTCTGCTTCACTGATTAAGATGTGGTCTCTGTTGGGTCAAACATAAATCCTTTTTATTTTTTTGTAGTAGTGGATAATGGCTTTTCTGGAGATCTTGACACATCCGAAGCGGGTGGGGATCTTTAAGACTCAAATGTTTGGAATCTGATGAAAGCTCCTTCTCCACTACCCTGCTGTGGTTCTTGTGTAGTTTTATGAAGTTGAGAAGCTCCATCGTCCATATTTGTTCTTTCCCTCTATACTGTGAGCTTACTGAAAGCTCTGTGTTATTAGCCTTGCGGCACACCTTAAGTGCTCGCTAAACGTTGGTTACCCTTGTAAATGAATGTGTTTATCAATGAACAAATGAAATGGTAAAATGCATGGCCCTTGTATTTTAAGCTGAAAACATTGCTTTTGCTAACAAAACAGTGAAGGTGTTACTGAGGAGGTGGTTGTGTGGCGCTGTTGCCTGCCTTGTGTCTCTCCGGCGTCTAACTCACCCTTGCCTTGTGTGGTAGGTCCCACCATCTGGGCTGCAGGGGCTCCCACCCATTGAGCCACCAGATATCACCCAGATCTACCCGGTTCCTGCCAACATTCGGCCAGTGCTGAGCAAATACCGAGTGGAGGTACGGGTCAGGGGAGGAGCTGAGTTGTTCTCTCAAGGGCAGGGGCCTTGCCTGAATTGCAGAAGAGGTGGAATGGAACGGGCAGGAGACCTAGAGAAAATGAATGAGCCCTCAAGGAGCTGTGCAGCTCTTTCCTGGAGGAACATAACGTGGTTCTTAGGGAACAGGTCTGACTTGTCACCCAAAGTCAGGGCAGGGGTGGGGCTCCTCTGTGGGTCTGTGGTGACAGCTCTGCTGGTCATTTCCTTAGGTTCTCTTCTGGGGAGTTCGGGAAATGAAGAAGGTGCAGCTCCTCTCGGTGGATCGGCCCCAGGTTCTCATCGAGTGTGGAGGACGAGGGGTGAAGTCCTGTGTGATCCAGAGCTACAAGAACAACCCAAACTTCAGCGTCCAGGCTGATGCTTTCGAAGTGGTGCGAGTTTCTCACTCTCCTGACCTGGCTCATTGCTTTTCTCCACAGATGAGGAGATGTTTTAGAGTTTCAGATGTCCACTGCCTGCAAGGAAGAATTAATTTAGTGTAAAGCCAGGATTTCACCATGAGCTAAAATAGACTTTTGTTGTTTTGTTTTGAAGCTTCCAGTGTCGATCATACAACAATCAAAGCAGGTTGACGAACTTTTCCCAGAGCCATGGTTCCTAAGGTGTGGTCCCCAATCTATCACCATCACCATCAGCATCACCTGAGAACTTGCTAGAAATGCTCATTCTTAGGCCCCGCTGTTCTGAATCAGAAACCCCCGCTGTTGTGGGGAGGGCCAGACATCTTTGGTTTAACAAGGTTTCCAGGTGATTCTGATATACGTTAAAATCTGAGAACCACTGGCCTACAAAATTTATTTAAATAGCTATATATATTTTTTAAAAATATTTGTACTTAGAATATCAAGAGTTTAAATGTGAATTTATGCTTCTAAAGTGATTTTTCGACATCTGTGGGGTGCTTTTATTTCAATATTTCAACATATTTTTTGTGCTTTGATTTGAAACTAATCGCAAAGAAAAAAATTGCTTTATGCAGCCCAGCCTGCTCCACTGGGCATATGTCCCCAGTTAGCAAAGCCCGCAATGGAACACTATGCATGGTGCTCGCAAACCTTTTGTATCAGGCTGCATTGAGTCTCAGGGGCCACCAGGGAAAACAAGTGGCCAGGGCACTGCCCCCTCACTCTCAGCTCTGTACCAAATGGCTTGACTTTCATCTCTTTTATATAATGGCCCTAAAGAAGCTGTCATTGGAGATGAGAGTTCTGCTGTCAGATAATGATAAAATAAGAGGTCTGAAAATTACTGTTAGAGAGAGTGCAGAAGTGAGAGATTTTTGTCATTTAAACCTGGGACAAATTGTTATTAAGGCAGACTTCCTATCTGTGTGAATTACTTCCTGGCTTGGGAAGACACTGCTCCAGGGTTTTGGCAAGCTGTAGGATTGCCAGGAGGGACAGAGTGGCAAGGTGGGGACAAGGGAGGCTGGATACCCAGCTTGCTTTGGCTCTGCCCACGGAAAGATCAACAGGGCTCAAGCAGCCAGGCCCAGTGCCCTCTTCATTCCATTCTCTCCCTGCAGGAACTGCCTGAGAATGAGCTTCTGCACCCACCACTGAGCATCTGCGTGGTAGACTGGAGAGCTTTTGGGAGGAGTACACTTGTGGGAACCTACACCATCAACTACTTGAAGCAGTTTTTATGTAAATCCAGAGAGCCCCTTGCCCTCATCTCACAGGTGGATGGAACCCAAGTTGGGGATGGTGAGAAGCTGCTCCTAGATTTTGTAGCTGTAACTATAAAATCATGGCGCCTACAGAGTGCCTGCTATGGGATTGGCTGAAATGATGACCCACAGCCAAGTGGTTGGGTGGATCTTTCTGATGAGCTTGCTTCTGCAGTAGCCTCTGCTTTTGTTGGCTGCCACGCTCTTACTTTAACTCATTTCAGGTCAATTTCTCTAAGACACCTTCCTTGGCTGTGATTTAAGCTCCTTCCTGCCTCCACTCTGACATTTCACTTGACTCTGCTTGATGCTGTTTTAGTTTGTTCCATTTGGGGTCTCAGGTGCACAGAGTTGAGTTCATTGCATGTCTCATTTCCATGCTGTACAATCATCATTGGTCTATTCAAAGATTCTTTCTTATTCTATCCACTGTCCTCCTATACCTTATTCCTATCTCTAATCCCAGTCTCCTCCCCACTGTAGGCCCTACACCACTATCCTTGTCAAATTTAAATCAATTTAATCTACCTAAATAATGATGCTATGATTCTCATTTGGTTTCCTGTTCTTTTCACTCAATTCTGGGTTATAAGATCTATCCATATTGCTGTGTATACATCAGCCTGTTACTGCTCCTCACTGCATCTACCACACTTGACTTTGCCATTCCTCTCATATTAGACCCACTGGCCGCCTCAACTCCCTCTTCCACAATCAGTGCTGCAATGAATAGCCCTGTGTGTGTTCCCTGAGGGAAGATGCTATGTGGGAATTTGTCTGAATGTACACCCAGGGGTGAGACTGCTAGGTCCCAAGAAATACGCACATATATTTTCATTAATTAGATCCAGGGGCATTCCAGAGAGCTTCACTGATCTACACCAGTCTACATCAGCCTATACTGCCATTACTGCATTTGGAACCCCATTTTTCTCCTCCTCAGCAGCACCTCCTGTTAGCCAACTTTACAGATCTTTGTTTTGCTTTGGTTTTAGTTTTTTGCTACTCTGTGGATATAAATTAGTATCTCATTTTTTATTTTAACTTGAATTTTTCTGCTTGCTACTGTTTGCGTATCCTTCATGCCTTACTGCCATATTAATCTTCCTTCTGTGATGCTGGCTCATGTCTTTTGCCTGTATTTTATGTGCTTTAATTTTCTTTTTGATTCACAGATTCTTTGTATTTTCTAGATATTAAAATCATGTAGATAGTTGATATTGTCCATATCTTTTCCTAGTATGATAACTACTAACTTTGTCTATAATTCCTATCTATGAGCAGAAATCCTTAATTGTTATATAATCGGATCACTCCACATTTTAAACTTTATAGTTTGTTTTTTATTCTTGTTTAAGGAACCTTTTCTCACCCCTTGGTCACGAAGACATTATCTTATATTTTCTTCTATTAGCTTTGTAGTTTTAGCTTTCTCATTTAGATCTTGAATCATCTGCATTTATATATGATTTTAAGTGGAGATTCAGCTGCATTTTTCTCCATATAGTGCACCATTTTCCCCCAAAGGGTCTGCTGACCTGTCATTCATTTTCCTGATGATTTGTACTGCCGTCTTTCTCATAAACCAAGTTGCCATACATTCCCTCTCTGTTTCTGAGATTTCTCGTCTGTCTCACTGGTTTCTTTGTCTCTATGCCCAGTGCAGAGTAGATACCCATAAAAGTCTGTTAGGTTAAATTTTCTGTTGAAAAGTCAGCAAATGGGGAGAGAGAAACTCTGGAGGCTCTAGCAGCCATGGGGGTACCCAATTGAGAAATGTTCCTAAGTACTGACTCCTACAGCATAAAACGGTGAGATGAGGACCTTTGGCAATGAAGGCCAGTGTCACAACCTTTCTATGGCATCAACAGCCCAGTTAAGAATCTCATGAAGCCCTGGACATACCCCTGCTCCCTGTCAAGAACATGTACTTATGTGCCTGGAGTTCTGCCTACAGTTGGGAGGTTCCTGGCCCTCTGGAGTTCTAAAGGCTCCCCAGATTGACACACAGCAGGAGGCAATCTCCCCAGACACAGAATCTGTACCCTAAACCTTGATTTTCATGATCCCAATTACCATGACTGATTAAAATTACTTCTAGGGATCAGTAACAAATACAACCATTTATTGATGATCTATGTGTCAGATGCCTTACGTCGTGGTCTCATTTCATCTTCCCAATGAGATGGGTATTTTTACTGTCATTTTATAAATAAGGAAATGAGGTTCCAAAATATCAGGAACCTGGCATATTTGAATCCAGGTCTGTCTAATTCCTAGTACTAAATCCCTGAAATGACCACCCTGTGATGCAGCCTAGTTCCCTGACCTGATGTGCTTTCATTATAGAGATTTCAGATTCGCTAACAGCCACTGAGTCCACTGGAGCCCCCAGCGCCTCCCAGGATCTCCCAACAGATCACATTTATGTGAATGTTGAGCCACCTCCCACAGTGATGCCCGACTCTGCCCAGGTTCAGCCAGCCATCGTGGTTGACATCCCTGACTCATCCCCGATGCTGGAGCCTGATCACAAACCTGTAGCTGAGGCACCACCAAAAGATGGAAAACCTAAGGTCAGACTAAAATCCCTCTCCATATTTACAAGGCTCATTGGAGTTTTCATTGGAGGCTTCAGACAATGTGAAGTTGCTTGTGGTGTGATGATGGGCAAGCAGCTTCACATTTCTGAGTATCAGTTCATCCTTTGTAAAATGGGGATATTGATACCCACTTCACAGCATTGTTGGTCTAAGTATTATGCCTCCCTGATTCCCTGTTGTAGAATCAGAAAGTTAATGTGCATGAAATCAAAGTGCTAGTCAAATATGACAGTAATAGTTAATTGAACAGAAACTCTTCTTAATTCATTAGCTTGGAAAGACCATGGGTTTCTTCATGCAAGTGTGTTCCACAAATATTTAGAGCATACTTTGTACAGGATCACGTAGGATTGACAAATACACAACCACAAAACAAGTTAATCTTTCTAAATTATACATTTGAGTGAAGAGTCTTTCTAAATTATATATTTGAGTGAAAAATCTTGGTATATCAATTGAATTAAAAGAGAAGGCCATTTTAAGAAGGTCTTAAGGGGCCAGGTGTGCTGACTCACTAAAAAAAAAAAAAAAAAAAAAATACAAAAAATTAGCCAGGTGTGGTGGCACTCAGTTCCAGAGGCTGAGGCAGGAGAATCACTTGAACCTGGGAGGTGAAGGCTGCAGTGAGCCAAGATCGTGCCACTGCACTCCAGCCTGGGCAACAGAGCGAGGCTCTGTCTGTCCTCCAAAAAAATGTCTTAAGGAACAGTCTGCCCAGCAGATGGCAAAGGCTGAAATAAAAAGAACAATGGAAAAGTGAGATAGATGCATGTCAGTTCGCACAGGTTGTTCTCATCTCATCCATGGTCAGTGACCTCTCTGATGCCTTACCAGGTCTGCTGCATTCTCCTAGCATTGCACCTGTGACTTTCTGTTGAATTCTCAGATTCAGTGTTCATCTCAGAGCCATAAAACTGTGAGCCTCCGCAGGGAAGAGATAATTTTTCACCATCTCTGTATCCCCTGCACTTGATAGAGTGCCTGGGTCACAGTATGAACTCAAGATGACTTGGTGAGTGAATAGAAGATGAATGCATAATGAGCCCTGCACCCATAGCTCCAGCAGGACTCCTGTCCTCTCCCACAAATGCCTCCTTTCTGCCACATCTGTCACTCCCTCTCCTGCCACCCTATCACTCATGTGATAGATGTCATTTACTTGTACCCATTCAAATAAGAAATGACACCAAAGAATTGCCTAAATTATGTCACTTAATCCTCACGACAGTGGTGGGCATTATTGTCCCTAGTTGAGGAAACTGAGAATTATAACATTTATATTAATTGCTTACTGATTTATAACCCAGGTCTGTCTGAAGCTAATGCCCTTTCTGCTATGCCACATTGCATCATATAGTCTAGTTCTTATTTGTTGCATGCTCAGCTCCTGTACTCTAAGCTACCCAATGTGGGATTGTGTCTAATTATCTACACATCCTCAGTGTCAAAAACAGTATCTCACACATGCTTAATAAATGCTAAGTAAATGAAGGAATGGATGAATAGATTCTTGAGCTTTCCTTTGTGGAAGTGATACAGAGAGCTACTACCACAAAACCAGTGGATACCTCTGTGTGTTTTCCAGTGGACACCTATATGTTTTCTTCCTCACAAGCCAGTTGACCAGGATGTAGCCAAATGGGGCTGAACTAATAATCCATCCCTCATCCCTTGCCAGGATCCCAGGATATCTTCCCGGAGGTCCACAAAGAGGAAAAAGAGGACCATAGCAGATGAATCTGCTGAAAACGTGATTGACTGGTGGTCTAAGTATTATGCCTCCCTGAAGAAAGCACAGAAGGTAGAGTCTCCCCTACCTGTGGTAGTCAAGAGACTCAATAAGAAAACACAGTACCTTCTCTGATCCTGAGTCCTTCATAACCTACTTTTAAATGCCACTATACATAGGCCCTACTCAGGTGTGGTTTGGTTTACTGAAGAAGGGTAAAAAGCCTGGAAGAACCAGAAATCCTGAATTACAAAATTCCCCCTTTTCAGCTGGAGCTGGCCCAAGGACACAAGCTCTGCTGTAAATACTGGAAGAATGTTGACTCCAGCATGGCATCTGGAGGATCTGCCTCCAGACTCGGGGGGGTCCAGCAGGGAGAAATGGGGTCTCTGGACAGGTAGCCATCAACGATTAGGGCCTTAGGAGATACCCCGGTCTAAGGGCCCCAAGTCTCTGGCAGGATTATGAGTTCACATGGGAAATTATCAAAGGCAGAGGCCTTGGCCTTAGCAAATGTTATTATAAGTATGTTTGTGTAGCAAGAGCATGGCCTCATGTCCATGGAACGAGACAAATCTAGTTATAAAGCTGGAGAGCCAGTGGGGAATATGCCTGGAGAGTGAGGCAAAAGCTCAGCAACTGGATGCAATAAGATTTCTCATCCTTAAGTACAAAAGGGAAGAAAAATTAGTCCGATGTTATCATATTTAATTGAATACTCTTCTAATTCTGTCATTTGGAAAGGCTATGGTTGCATCTAGGACTATTTCTCAAATATTGATATATACTAAAAGAGCACATGTTAGCCCCTGCCTCCAACCTCCCTCCTTTTGCTGCGATGGACACTATCATTTCCTGTGAGAACTTGGCCCCTTTTCCTTTATCTGCTAACCTACCCAATCTGTGATACCATTCCAAGGACCAGACATGCCAACAGACACAGCTCATAGTGCAAACCAGGGCAATGCTCCAGGGAGGTGGAAAAATACTAGGGAGAGAGTTTGCTTGCCTTGTGGCTGAGAGGGTACTGCATACAGGAGATAAAGATGTCTACATCTCGATCACGCTTTTCTTAGATGTGTGGATACCTCTTTTCTAGGACAGGCATTAGCCCCCAGATCTTTACAGTGAGACTTCATTTTTGGGGACTGCTTAGAGACTAAATACTTTTAAAATGGTGTCTCTGGAAATGCAGAGGGCTGAGATCATTAGAATTGTTAGTCAGAATTAATAGATTGAGTATCGCAGGATCAATAATCGTGTCTCTTCCTTTTTCAAAGGCAAAGGACAGCAATCCCAAGAAGAAAAAAGGCAATATGGGTAAGCAGCTTTTCTGGGGACATTTGTCCATATAATAGGGCCATTGTTAGGAGAAAATTACAAAATGGAAACCATGGGAGGTGTATTAGAGCTCAACTCCCTCCTTTCCCAAGTTTAGAAACAATCTCAGGAAGAGGACAGCACTTTAAAATGTGGTCATGTAGCTCTTGGTGCTGGGCTGGAACCAGATCTCAGTTCTTCTGAATCAAGTTCAGGGCTGGAATGGACCCTTTGGCTCAAGTCCCTATGTTGACAGTCTTAATGTAAAAACCTTAGAATAAAAATTGCAGTAATCTGGGATGGACGGCCAAAATCAACATGGTAAACTTGATTAGAGGTGAGTGTGAAGACCTGGATTTAGGTTCCAAAACTCAGTTTACAGGATTGATAGATCTTGTTTGGCAGAAGCTCAAAAGAGAGGCCTCAGGTTTCAAATTACCACAAACTCAGTTTAAGCCAACAGAAGTTATCAGCCTAAATATAAGCAGCCAGTGTTGTTTCATTTGACGTTGATAGAAGTGGAAAACCAGAGCCAGGCTCAGTTCCTCAGACCACTTCTAATTAGCGCATGTAATTCTAAGACCAACCCCACATCACAGGAAATAGTATCTTCATCTTACAAATAATGAAACAGAGGTACAAAGAGGTCAAGTAATTCGTCCAACATTACACAGCTAGAAAATAACAGAACTAGAGTCCATATCCAATGGGTTCTCCCCTGAAAAGCCTGCTGCTAAAAAATTGCTGAGTACTCCCACTAACAACTTTGCACAAGACCCTTAAGATATTTGAGCCTCATGTTGAACTAGATGAATCTCAAGTCCCTTAACAGATCTGAGATGGAATCCAAAAAGCTTTGGAATCAGTCCAAGTCCCAAGTCTGTTCTTTGCTAGTTGGGTGAATGGGCAAATTACCTATTCTCTCTGTGCCTAGTTTAATGAGTTCTTACATGTGCTGTAACAGGCCAGCATGTTGCCCAGCCCTAGGGGATCCACTGACATTGCACTTATATGTGCATGTGATACGCTGCAGTCATACACTGTACAGACTGTATGTAACAATCCTACAGCAAAAGTTACTATTTCTTTTTAAAAAGAAGGGTCACATGTTACTAATTCTTTTTAAAAAGAGGGGTCACAGCATAGGACATGCCAGAGCAAAAGGAAAGGAGAAGCTGGGCTTTGTTCCTTCTCATCTCAATTACCAGGAGAAATCTAATTTCTGCTGAATATCCACAGAAGCAAAGCCAGATGAGGTAGTGGTAGATATAGAAGATGGCCCAAAGAAGAAGAAAGACAAAATGCTCAAGACGAAACTCAAAGATGATGGAATCCCCAATCTGGCCACCTTGCAGGTGTGTGGGGACACAGGCATCTCTGCCATGGGTGGGAAGGGATGCTCAGCAATGAGGTTCTGTTAGTGCTTTAGTGAACCCTAGTCATGCCTTTGTCTGACTGACTGACTTTGTCTTTATTATTGCTGATGTAGAGAAGTAAACTTTGATGTGCATTTAAACGAAGACGAGAGCTTATTCATTTTCCATTTTCTATACCGTCATATTGAGAAGGGGCACAACTTAAATTGTTTATTGTGGACCTGACAAAGTAATCTACAGCATTTGAGTCCCCTTCACTCACCTCTAGGTGCTTGACATCATCATGCAGATGTGTACACACTCAAGGGAGCAGGAGATTTAACTCCAACTAAAGTCAGTTCCATCAGGCCAATCTTAACATTAGTCACAAGGGATTAGCTAGAGGTATACTAATGGCTATGAAAATTTGAAGTGTGAAAATTACATATCTAGGTCACCAATTTGGGTAAGCAATTTATACAGGAAAGTTGAACAAGTAATTTATTCTACTACCAAACCTAAAACTCAACTCAATTTTGCATTTCCAAAGCGTGTGTGTGTGTGTGTGTGTGTGTGTGTGTGTGTGTGTGTATATATATATATATATATATATATATATACACACACATTATTTTCCACCTGGAAAATTCATGTGTATATGCATTACAATAAAAACAAATATTCCATTACTTTATATGTGCTAAGAATTGGATATTTAATGAACATTATTGATTTGAATCTCCTCCAAGTATTATAGTCTACATCTAACAACCAATAGCATCAATTAGCTCTAAAAGTTTTGTTGTATTTGTACTTGCATGTTACAACTGTTATTATTTACCTATACTTTTTGGAATTTAAAAGTCATCAAAAAATTTTATAAAATTCAGAGTAGTAGTTTCAGGAGTGCTGAGCTGATCCCTGTTTCTTATCTTGCTGAAGATAAATTACCAACAGCCTCAGATTTTTCCAAAGGGCATATATCAAGGCTGGTTTTAGAGAATCTTGGCATTTCTCATTAAATCAATCCTGGGCCTTCCTTCCTCTTAGAACAATCTTCTCCCTTTTCCCTAAAGATATATGATGGTGATCTTGAGAGTGAATTCAACAATTTTGAAGACTGGGTGAAAACCTTTGAACTCTTCAGAGGCAAGTCTACAGAAGATGACCACGGTCTTGATGGAGACAGAGTCATAGGAAAATTTAAGGCAGGTTCCATTGTTCATCCTTTTATGTGGCTCTCCCTGTCCATAAATGTCAGGTAGGACTCAATTCAGTTAATGGAATTGTGCAGTGTGGGATGTGTGTAGGGAAAATCCTTAACTTTTACTCAAGTCCCTCTCTAGAACTCCACAAAACCCAGTCCCAAGCCTTTAAGGTATTTTTGGCTTGTGAATAGTGGATTGGAGCTCAGCCTGGTGAAGAATAAGGGGACAGAATCATTACCTAAAGGGAACGTTGAACTTTACTTTGTTCTCTCCACCCCTGGCATACCAAATGTGTGATTTAGGCAAACCTACCAGTTGGACAATTAAACTAATCAAACAACACAAGCCCTTCATTTGGCAGACTTACAGTGTGAACATCACAAAGTAGTAGCCACTATTCACCATAAACCTACTACAAGCTGGGCCTTTCTATGCAGCATGCTATGTTGGAAATAGCACAGACATTGCAGTTTGCCCATCTGGATTCAAATCCTAGTTATAGTACTAACCAGCTGCATGATCTGGAACAAAGTGCTTCACTTCCCTAAGCCTCAGTTGCTGGGTCTGGAAATAGGAATACTGTAGTCAGAATTGAATGAGATAATGGGGGATGCACTAGCACAGCACCCCACATGTAAAATGCACTTGGTGTCCCATCTGTTCTGTTCCTCATATAACATTCCTGTGAGGAGGGTGTTAATGTGCAATATCAATTCACTGGTGTATCATGAAGAAGCTCAGATGCCAGCAGGCTACATAAATTGTCCAAGGATATCTAACAGGCAAGTTTAGCTCCAACCCAGGTCCTGTGGATTCCCAGGCTGTGCTCTCTGTGGGTTTTGGTGGGACATATGACCATCTCATTTCAATGGGTTGCATTTTGTGGTTCCAGGGCTCCTTCTGCATCTACAAAAGCCCTGAGGATTCTAGCTGTGAGGACAGTGGGCAGCTGAGAATCCAGCAAGGAATTCCACTTAATCACCCAGTCACAGTGCTGATCAGAGTGTACATTGTTGCGGTGAGCCATCCTTGTTTGCTCTGAGAGGGTGTATTGATCTGCTTAGGCTGCCATTACAAAATATGGCAGACTGGGAGGCTTAAACAACAGAAATTTACTTTCCCACAGTTCTGAATGCTGTAAGTCTGTAATCAAGTTGCTACCAGGGTTGGTGTCTTGTGAGGCCTCTCATGCTGGCTTGCAGATGGCTGCCTTCTTGCTGTGTCCTCACATGGCCTTTCCTCTGTGCACATTTATATAGGGAGAGGTTGAGCTCTGATGTCTCATCCTCTTCAAATAAAGACACTAGCCCTGTCTTATTAGAGCAGCACCACTACGACCTCATTTAACCTCAATTACCTCCCTAAAGCCATGTCTCCAACTACAGTAACCTTAGGAATTAGGAGTTAAACATATGGGGTATGAAGTTAGGCTGGCAACACAGACATTTTATGGCTTTTCTGAGCATAGTAGTATCTGTTCCCTGTGGTTGCCTATGGCAGGAGAGGGAACCAAATAGGAGGGAAGCAGGAAACTACGGGAAAGAGTTAGCAGGAAGGACCAAGGCAGAACAGGGCAGCTGTTATGTGAAATTCTCCCACAGCCATGCCTCTGCACTATTGCAGTAGGAAACTTCACTTTGAATGCATTTCTAAGAAAGATGTTAATTCCTCTTAGCTTCCCTCTTTCTGATAATGAGAGCATAAAACTTTGATTATGAAACTTTTTGGCCTCATTAGCAGGAAGCTCAGGGCCAAATCTAATCTCAATCAAAGCAACTACATGAACCCCACTGGCTCATGGATTTGTTTTAGTCTCCTGACGTTGGATGCAATTTTTGTAATTGTATTTTATTATAATGCTCTTATTTTATTTCAACCCTTTGCTTCCATTGCCTATGTTCTTTCAAAGAAACATAAATGTAACATAAAATAAAAATGAATTATCCTTTAGTGCTAAGGGAGAAATAAGTGTTCTTCCATCATGAAGTTCTCAGGTTTCCTTCATCATCCTCTGTATCATCACCACAACCACCATGTGCCAGGGATGTTGTGATGAAAAGAACATAGTCTCTGTATTCAAGGAAGTCACAGTGTAGTTGGAAAGATGAGAACTTGTAGGGTCACTGACAATGTTGGGTAGTCAATATCAAACACCACCCTCAGGATGCTTTAGACAAACTCTTTCAACATTTTGCTCAGGAGGTCACTGGTGTTTTGGGAGAAAAATGCATTCCTTAAGAAACAGAACATACATTCAAATAAATTTGAATAGTACATATTTCCTTCTCCAACCTTTGAGATTCACAAAACTCATTAGCACATTCAAGTCTCTGAGAATTTCAGAAGTAAACAACAACAACAAAACAACCAACAAACCCTATTTAGTGATCTTGAACAGCATTTTCTAAACTTTTGCCTCATACCTTTCCCCTTCCTACAGGAAATCTTGCAGAACTAAAGTTCTTTAAGATACAGTTTGGACAATGTGGAAATAGTATCAACAGTAGGAAGGAGAGGGAAGAATTTCTGTGAACTGTGAACTACAGAGGTTGGAGAAAGATGCCTCCTTATTCATGTATTCATTCAGAAAGTATCTACTGCACACCTTTTATGTGTTCAGTGCCCTCTAGACAAATACCAGAGAAAGAGATCAGGTTTCTGTCCTGTAAGTAGCATGGGGGAGGGAGGCCTTGGGCTGGAACTTGAGACCAGGAGGGACTTGAATAAACAGGGAGTCAGAAGGTAGCAGTCCTAGATGAATTCACTACAGTTATGGACAGTCAATATATTTCTAGTAGTTTGATTATGTGTGGTTTGCTCTCATAGTCATGTTTAATTAATTAACTAAATAAAGTCTCAAGTCTTTTAATTAAAAGAACACTAACAAGTAAAAAAAAAAACTTCTTAAAACTTGCATAAGGAAAGGAATCAAATTTCCTCACCTCTTTTTTTTTTTCCTTAACAAGATAGATCGCACCTTTTTTTTATTTTTAAGATTAATATGTACAGGTCTTCATTCATTTTAGTAGCTGTATAGCATTTTCTTGAATAAATATAGTATTCATTCATTCATTCAACAAGTGTTAAGAAGACCCTGTCCTATGTCCTAGATATAAAGTAATGAACAAGATAAACAGTGCCCTTGCTCTCATGGAGATTACGTACTAGTTGGGAGTGATGTGGGGATTATGCAGATATAAAAATAAACAAAGGAGCACATAAATTAACAGGATTTATGTCAGAGATAACAGTTGTGTAAAGAATTAAAATTGGTTGATGTGACAAGGAGAAATGTGAAGGACTGCTCTGGATTGTGTTTCTTCCCAAGTAATTAACAAATAGGTTGCTTACAATTGTTGGCTCTTAAACAGTGTTCTAGTAAACATCCTTGAATATACAGCTTTATAGGCTCACACTATTCTATCTACAGGATGGAATTCTAAATATGGAATTGTTTCTCAGCTTTCATTGCTGCAGAGTTTCTCCATCTTTTTTATACCATTTTTTTTCAATTTATTTAAGTTCTGGGGGTACCTGTGTAGAATGTACAGGTTTGTTACATAGGTATACATGTACCATGGTGGTTTGCTGCATCCATCACCATGTCATCTACATCAGGTATTTCTTCTAATGCTAACCCTCCCCAATCCCCCCACACCCTGCTAGCCCTCCCCTACCCCCCACCCCAGACTGGCCCCAGTGTGTGATGTTCCCCTCCCTGTGTTCATGGGTTCTCATTGTTAAACTCCCACTTATGAATGAGAACATGCCATATTTGGTTTTCTGTTCTTGTATCAGTTTGCTGAAAATGATGGTTTCCATATTCATCCATATCCCTGCAAAGGACATGAACTCATCCTTTTTAATGGCCTCATAGTATTCCATGGTGTATGTGTGCCACATTTTCTTTATCCAGTCTATCATTGATGGGCACTTGGGTTGGTCCCAAGTCTTTGCTATTGTGAACAGTGCCTCAGTAAACATACATGTGCATGTGTCTTTATAATAGAATGATCCTTTGGATATATACTTAGTAATGGGATTGCTGGTTCAAATGGTATGTCTAGTTTTAGATCATTGAGGAATCTCCACACTGTCTTCCACAATGGTTGAACTAATTTACACTCCCACCAACAGTGTAAAAGCATTTCTGTTCCTTCACATCCTCTCCAGCATGTTGTCTCCTGATTTTTTAAGGATTGCCATTCTAACTGACATAAGGTGGTACCTCAATGTGGTTTTGATTTGCATTTCTCTAATGACCACTGATGATGAGCTTTTTTTCATGTTTGTTGGCTGCATAAATGTCTTCTTTTGAAAAGTGTCTGTTCATATCCTTCACCCACTTTTTGATCGGATTTTTTTTCTTGTAAATTTGTTTGTTCTTTGTAGATTCTGGATATTAGCCCTTTGTCAGATGGGCAGGTTGTAATTTTTTTTCCCATTCTGTTGGTTGCCAGTTCACTCTAATGATAGCTTCTTTTGCTGTGTAGACATTCTTAAGTTTAATTAGGTCCCATTTGTCTATTTTGGCTTTTGTTATCATTGCTTTTGGTGTTTTAGTCATGAAATCCTTGCCCATGCCTATGTCCTGAATGGTATTGCCTAGGTTTTCTTCTAGGGTTTTTATGGTGTTAGGTCTTATGTTTAAATCTTTAATCTATCTGGAGTTAATTTTTGTGTAAGGTGTAAGGAAGGAGTCCAGTTTTAGCTTTCTGCACATGGCTAGCCAGTTTCCCAACACCATTTATTAAATAGGGAATCCTTTCCCCATTGCTTGTTTTTGTCAGGTTTGTCAAAGATTGGATGGTTGTAGATCTGTTAAGTTCTGAGGCCTCTATTCTGTTCCATTGGTCTATATCTCTGTTTTGGTACCAGTACCATGCTGTTTTGATTACTGTAGCCTTGTAGTATAGTTTGAAGCCAGATAGTAATGCCTCCAGCATTTTTTTTTTTTGCTAGGATTGTCTTGGCTATGTGGGTTCTTTTTTGGTTCCATATGAAGTTTAATGTGTTTTTTTTTTCCAATTCTGTGAAGAAAGTCAGTGGTAGCTTGATGGGGATAGCATTGAATCTATAAATTACTTTGGCAGTATGGCCTTTTTCACAATATTGATTCTTCCTAACCATGAGCATGGAATGTTTTTCCATCTGTTTGTGTCTTCTCTTATTTCCTGGAGCAGGGGTTTGTAGTTCTCCTTGAAGAAGTCCTTCACATCCCTAGTTAGTTGTATTCCTAGGTATTTTGTTCTCTTTGTAGCAATTGTGAATGGGAGTTTACTCATGATTTGGCTTTCTGTTTGTCTATTATTGGTATATAGGAATGCTTGTGATTTTTGCACATTGATTTTGTATCCTGAGAATTTGCTGAAGTTGCTTATCAGCTTAAGGAGATTTTGGGCTGAGACGATGGGGTCTTTTAAATATACAATCATGTTGTCAGCAAACCAAGACAATTTGACTTCCTCTTTTCCTAATTGAATATCCTTTGTTTCTTTTTCTTGCCTAATTGCCATAGCCAGAACTTCCAATACCATGTTGTATAGGAGTGGTGAGAGAGGACATCCTTGTCTTGTGCCAGATTACAAAGAGCATGCTTCCAGTTTTTGCCCATTCAGTATGATATTGGCTGTAGGTCTGTCATAAATAGCTCTAATTATTTTGAGCTATGTTTCATTGATACCTAGTCTATTGAGAGTTTTTAGCATAAAGGGCTGTTGAATTTTGTTGAAGGCCTTCTCTGCATCTATTGAGATAATCATGTGGTTTTTTGTCTTTGGTTCTGTTTATGTGATGGATTACGTTTATAGATTTTTTTAATACCATTTCTTCCATCTTCCTACTCTGGCATTTCCTTAGAAAGTGTTTGCTTTTGATAGTTTAAGTCCTAGCTTGTCTGGAATCAGACTTTACTCTCAGAAACAGATCATCATTCAACTGGTCAGTGCCAAATGCAAGACTCATAGGGTCATGGATTCAGAAACCATTAGTTCTGGGAAGGGCCTTCAGGTCCACCCCATGATTTTATAGATAGATCTCAGAGAGCTATGACTTGCCCAATGTCACACACTACTTAGAAATGCAGTCAGGCCCAATGCGGTGGCTCATTCCTGTAATCCCAGCACTTAAGGAGGCCAAGGTGGGCAGAATGCTTGAGCTCAGGAGTTCGAGACCAACCTGGTCAATATAATGAAACCCCATCTCTGATACAAAATTAGTGGGGTGTGGTGGCTCATGCCTGTAGTCCCAGCTACTTGGGAGGTTGAGGTGGGAGGATGATTTGAGCCTGGGAGGCATAAGTTGCAGTGAGCCAAGACTGTGCCACTGAACTCCAGCTTGGGCAACAGAGCAAGATACTGTGAAAAGAAAAGAGAAATAGAAATAGAAATATAGTAATGTGTCTCTTACCGATGGGAATACATTCTGAGAAATGTGCTGTTAGGCTGTTTCAGTGTTAGACTATATTTACACAAGTGTCAGACTATATTTGCACAAACCTAGATGGTTTGGCCTCCAACATGATGGAATAGCCTATTGCACACCTAGGCTATAAACCTGTATAGCACATTGCTGTAGAAACTACTATAGGCAATTGTAACACAATGGTATTTATGTATGTAAACATAGAAAGGTACAGTAAAAACACAGTATAAAAAATTTGAAACAGTGCTGCAATGAACATTCGTGTGCATGTGTCCTTATAGTAGAACGATTTATAATCCTTTGCATATATGCCCAGTAATGGGATTGCTGGGTCAAATGGAATTTCTATTTCTAGGTCCTTGAGGAATCGCCACACTGTCTTCCACAATGGCTGAACTAATTTGCACTCCCACCAACAGTGTAAAAGTGTTCCTATTTCTTCACATCCTCTCCAGCATCTGTTGTCTCCAGATTTTTTTAATGATCTTTTTAAATGATTTTTCTAACTGGCATGAGATGGTATCTCAATGTAGTTTTGATTTGCATTTCTCTAATGACCAGTGATGATGAGCATTTTTTCATATGTTTGTTGGCCTCATGTATGTCTTCTTTTATAAAGTGTCTGTTCATATCCTTCACCCACTTTTGAATGGGCTTGTTTTATTTTTCTTGTAAATCTGTTTTAGTTCTTTGTAAATTCTGGATATCAGCCCTTTGTCAGATGGGTAAACTGGAAAAGTTTTTTCCCATTCTGTTGGTTGCTGATTCACTCTAACAACTGTTTCTTTTGCCATGCAGAAGCTGCGGAGTTTGATTAGGTCCCATTTGTCTATTTTGACTTTTGTTACCAATGCTTTTGGTGTTTTGGTCATGAAGTGCCCATCGATGATAGACTGGACAGGGAAAATGCGAACATACACGCCATGGAATATTATGCAGCCATCAAAAACAATGAGTTCATGTCCCTTGTAGGGACATGGATGAACCTGGAAACCATCATTCTCAGCAAACTGACACAAGAATAGAAAATCAAACACCACATGTTCTCACTCATAGGCAGGTGTTGGACAATGAGAACACATGGACACAGGGAGGGGAGCATCACACACTGGGGTCTGTTGGGGGGAAATAGGGGAGGGACAGCAGGGGGTGGGGAGTTGGGGAGAGAACATGGGGAGAAATGCCAGATATAGGTGAAGGGGAGGAAGGCAGCAAATCATGCTGCCATGTGTGTACGTTGCAGCAATCTTGCATGTTCTTCACATGTACCCCAAAGCCTAAAATGCAATTAAAATAAAAAAAGATTTGAAAAAATGGTACACTTGTCTAGGGCACTTACTATGAATGGAGCTTGCAGGACTGGAAGTTGCCCTGGGTGAGTCACTGAGTGGTGAGTGAATGTGAAGGCTAGGATGTTACTGTCCATGACTGTAGAGTTTAGAAACACTGTATACTTAGGCTACACTAAATTTATAAAATTTATTTTTCCTTATTCAATAATAAGTTAACTTTAGCTTGCTATAACTTTATGAACTTATGTTTTTCTAACTTTCAAGTCTGGTCAAAACAACGTTTAGCTTAAAGCAAACATATTGTTCAGCTATACAAAAATATGTTCTTTATATCCTTAGTAAGGTTTTTTATATTTTTTAATTGTTTTATTTTTTAAACTTTGTTGTTAAAAACTAAGATGCACACACACACACAAACACACACACACACACACACACACACACACACATTTTAGCCTAGGGCGAAACAGGGTCAGGATCATCAGTATCACTGTCTTCTACCTCCACATCTTGTCCCACTGGAAGGGCTTCAAAGGCAATAACATGCATGGAGCTGTCATCACCTATAGTAACACCTTTTGTTGGATATCTTCTGAAGGACCTGCCTGTGGATATTTTACAGTTAACTTTTTTTAATGAAGAGAAAAAGTATACTCTAAAATAATGATTAAAAAGTATAGCATAGTAAATACATACACCAGTAACATCGTTATTTATTATGTCAAGTGTCGTTTACTGCACATGATTGTATACTTTTACATGACTGTTAGCACAGTCGGTTTGTTTATAGCAGCATCACCACAGACATGTGAGTAATGTGTTGTATTACAACACTGCAACAGATATGATGTCACTGGATCATAGGAATTTTTCAGCTCCTTTATAATTTTATAGGACTGCCATCGTACATGTGGCCAGTCCTTGACCAAGACATCATTAAGAGGTGCATGACTGTAGAACTAGAACTCAAACTCATGGCTTCTGCCTCCTGGTCCAGCGTTTTTCTCATTTTTCTGTGCCAAGAGCTTCTTTTCACTGAGGGGATGACTCCAGAGAAAGTTGAACTTGGGCAGAGCCAATGATTTTTCTTTTAACAGCAAAATGTAGATGCTAAAGCAGTGTTCTTAACCTTGGCTGCACACTAGAATTATCTAGAGAGTTTTTCAAAAGCCCAAAGCCCTGGCCCATTAAATCAGACTATCTAGAGACAGAAATCAGGTATTAGCATTTTTGAAAGCACCCAGGTAATCCCAGTATACAACCAATATTGAGAGCCACTGAACCAAAGATGTTTTCTTTTTCTTTCCAGGCATTTAATCTTAGCCCAGCTGATCCAGATGGCAAATCAGATCCCTACATTGTGATCAAGCTTGGCAAAACAGAAATCAAAGACCGGGATAAATACATCCCCAAACAACTGAACCCAGTATTTGGAAGGTCAGTGGCCATCTGGGCTGTGTTTTATTACCCTTTCTGCATTTGTTCCTGCTGTGTTTCTGTGGGGATGGGGTATGTATGTGTGTGTTCCTGGGTGAAATGGTGGCAGGAAGTTAAACACTGGCTTTGCTCTTGATAGTAACCAACCAAACCTATGTTCATGGAGCAGGTTAAATTCTCTCATGGTTCCCTGAGGAATTAGGTGGTACTTGATCATTATACCCATAGCTTTCTTTACTATAATTTTTTTCTTTTTCTTTTGCGGTGTGTGTTTGTGTGTGTGAACTTAAGTAGAGAAATACATACCCACAGCTCTCTAATGATCATTTTCTAGATTTTAGATTTAATAGACATCTTGCAGGGTCCTTGGATTCAGCCTTGTGCTTTTGAACAGAGCAGAGATTTCCCTTTTATAAACAAGGCAGCAAAGGGCTAGAGAGATTAAGAAACATATTCAAGTTCAGATGACTCACAATTGGAGAATAACAGGACAGAAGTTTGGTCTTTTGTCTCCTACTAAAGGGATTTTTCCATCATATCATTTTTTGCTTCATTTGAGGTGACCCCGAAGGTCAAAAAGTTGAAGTTGTCCTCAAGTTGTGCTTTGTTTTCCTGTAAAGTGCTAAAAGCTATTGCATTTGTGTAAGTGGACTAGGCGTTCACCAGCTCACAGCAACACTGCAATGCTATTGATCCTATAATAGGGTATGCTACACATTGGTGTTCCCTGTTCAAGTTTGTGCACCTGTCTGTCATTGTCTCTGGAACCAAGGTGACCTGGGTATCACTCTGCCACATACAAGCTCTACAACCTTATGCAGATGGCTTAACCTATCTGTTCCTAGTTTTCCTGACTATAAAGCAGCAACAGTGACATCCGACTCTCAGATTCCTTTAGAAGATTAAATGTGTAAAGCACCTACATTTCACATTGCCTATGCCAGCACACAGTTGACATACAAAACACATCAGCTCCCTTCCTCTCCACCTTGGTAATTGCAGCAATGGATACATCTTCAGTGTGTTTAATTCCTTTCTCTTGAGTAAGCAGGAGCGGGGAATACAATCTCCATTGGCCCCATTTAAATTCATTTTGATCACATCCTTGATCACTTTGGAGCCTCTGACATTTGAACAGCGCTAGCCTCTTACATTTTATTGCTCCTGAGAAAACGAGGGCTATAAATGATCTTGCCTGTCCAGATTAATGAGAACGACAGTGCTGGGGAAACTTACCCTTGCCTCCCTCATCCAGAGACAACCTTTATTGTCATCTGCCATTTATGTAACTAGGGCTTCAGTATGACAAGCACTTGGCAGGCACTTTTTATTAGCTACTCTCACCACAGTGCCATGAACTAGGCTGGTTTTACTACCCATGCTATATGGCCATGGCAAACAAGAGAAGAGGATGATGAAAAAAATGTTCTCTCCTGCCTCTGGCATTGCAGCACCTCATCCAAAAGCTCTCCAGATGTGGATGTTTTGCTGGAGATGTATTTAATTTTTACTCAGGAACAAAAGTTGCCAGCACAATCCCACAGTGTTCCAGCAGGAAAAGCAGAGGATTCTTGTGCCTGACCTGGGGTCTGGGGAATCCCTCATGACTTCAGTGCCCCAGTATCCCTGTGAGGGTGTCACAGCCTCCAACTGCTGGCGCCCTGGTATCTTGCATTGCTTTACTTTTCTTCATAGCCTCTGACACGGATTAGATGTTTATGGATTTATTGGCCACCTCCCATCTCCCCACTAGAATGTAAGAAGTATTTGAGCAGGGACTTAGTCTAGTCTGGTTAATGCCACATCTCCAGCACCTAGAACAAGGCCTGGCACACAGCAGGTGCTCAGTATGTATCTGTGGAATGAACAGATGGATGGATGGGTGGGTGAGTAGATGGGTAGATGGACAAAATGCCAGTCAGTTGTCCATGGGATTTAATGGGGCCCTATCTCCACATCAACTTGTGGTGCATGTCTGTAGGCTTTGACAGTTTCTTCCTTATGGCTCTTATGGTTTCCCAGAATGCTTTCCATTGTCTACACTACCTTAATAATTAACCATAAAGCAAAATGATTAGATCATAAGGAACTGAGCAATGGGTTAATAAAACAGCTCTCTATCTCTTCTTCCTCATTCACATCTACAGGCGGTTGTCCTTGCTGTGCCCTCACCATGACATACCTTTCCTTGTCTTGTCCACCTGCAGAACTTCCTTCATTCCTCACAATTACTGGGAACTCACCGTGTGTCAGGCACTCTGCTAAGTGCTGGGACACAATGGGGACCAAGCCACAGTCTATACCTTCAAGGTGTCCATGAATATTGAGAGAACATAAAATAAATGCATGATTACAATAGGCTGCTGCAAGTCCTGTGAAGACACAGGACTTTATTGGGAAGGCATCAGACCATCTTGGGAGTGTTGAGAGGGTGGGAAGGGATGGGTGTTCTTTGCCATGCAAAGTATGGAGTATAGGGAGAACGTGATGTGGCAGGAACTGTTACCAGTCAGGGTTCTACCATGGGAAGGGACCTAGCAGAGGAAAGAGAGAGAATTTCCCAGGGCTTCTTTAACAAAGTATCATAAACTGGATGATTGTAACAACAGAAAGGCATTCTCTCACAGTTCTGGATACTGAAAGTGTGGTGGTGTCTGTGGACTGTAAAGGAGCCTCTGTTCCCAGCCTCCCTCTCAAGTGCTGGTGATCTGCTGGCAATCTCTGGTGCTCCCTGGCTGGTAGAGGCATTGCTCCAGTATCAGCCTTCATCTCCACATGGCCTGCTCCCTGCATCCCTCCACATTATCTTCCCCCTGTGCATATCTGCGTCTGTGTCAAGTTTTCCTCTTTACAAGGACACCAGTCATATTGCATTAGGGCCCATCCCAATGACCTCATTTTAGTCTGAATACCTCTATTAAGCCTCCACTTCCAAATAAGGTCAGATTCTGAGGCGCTGGGGCTGGAGCTTCAACTTATCTTTTGATAGAGACACAATTTGACCCATAGTAATATATACTGCTTTTGCTCTTTATTATGAGATTATTGTTTTTGCTCTTAAGAGTTTTCAACTGGTTAGATGAGGCCTACTTAGATTATCAAGAAGAACCTTCTTCAACTAAAGTCAACTAATTGTGGATGTTAATTACATCTTTAATTACATCTACAAAATGCCACCATAGCAACATCTGGATTAGTGTTTGATCAAATAACTGGAGACTATAGTCAAGTAGACACATGACACTGACCATCACTCTGTGAGTAGATTGCAAGTATTTGTTTCTTTCCAATCAGGTGGTCAGTTTGGTGATAGACTATGTGCCAGCTACTAGAGAGGTATAAAGGGTACATGACCCTGTTTCCACGGAACCTATGCCCTTATGGAGGAACCAGGCATTACAAAAAAAGTCAGGCAGATATAAAATTGCCTGTCTGATGAATGCTATAAGGGAAAGGTGCAGGGGCCTTTGAGTCTGTATAATCAGGGAGCTTTACCTGGTTGGGAAAATGGCTAAGATGAGAAGTTCTGAAGATCTGGAGCAGGGAGAACTCCCATCTGCACTCAAGGCTCAGCTGAAGAGTCATCTCTATGAAACCTTCCATAGTTGCCCCTCCCCAGGCAGGTGTACTAGTAACACCCTGCCCATAACTCTGTTGGAGATCCTGCCACCTTATTTAGCCATATTCTTATCTGCCTTTTCCACTGGAAAGAAATTGTTGTACTTATCTTGTAAAAACCACAGTGCCTGGCACGTGGTAGATACACAATAAATGCCAAGTGAATGAATGAATGAATGAATGACCAAATGAGTAATGGAACATCTTTGCTCTGAAGCTCAGAGGCTCTTCACGCTTTCACCAAGTCTCAGTTTTTGCCCATTTCATGATGCATTCCATTTTCCCAAACTGCCTAATTGACACACAAGTTGGTATAAGGCTAATTTTTCCCTGGGTGACTGGAAATTCAACCATAGTGGGCTGCTTTGGTGACTTTTACTAACAGCTCCAGTTAAAATTCAGGTAAGATTAATCTGTGGGCCCACAGCTTGGGGAGATGGACCAGGGCGATTAAGTCTTCTGTCATGGTTGCCAGCAGCAGTTAAGCCCTTAATAAGTCCTTCCAGTGACAGTAATGGTGATGGCTCAGGGGCAGATGGCTGGGGGCTTCCTTGTGATGCACCTCCAGAATATCACAGTTTAAAATGTAAGTCTTGGAGCTCAGGCAGGCAATGCTATGCCTTCAGAGAGAAGACATATGGATTTCTTTTCCACACCATATCCCTGGCCTGCTAGAGCCCCTTCTGTCAGTTACAATTGCTGGAGCTGTCCAGCGTGTCTGCTTTTTTCTCTTTGAGGAGGGTTAATTGGCTTGGGCTTGCTGCAATTGCTGTGCCTGCTTCACTGGAGAACGAGTGCCAGGGCTAAGTGAATCCGACCATGAGGGCAGCAGCCCAGACAGCCCCGTGGACATGCAGGGAAATAATGAGCTCGCATTCTCCGTCCTCCCCTCCTCTTTGTCCATCACTCCCAGACCAGCCCATCCTGTACCAGAGCAGACAGTCTAGACAGCTGGAGAACATTGTCCTTGATTTTGTTTTCAGGAAGGCATTTCCCTATAATGCAGAATTTTACTTCACATTTAATTTTCAAGTACCCATCCCAATGTAGGAAATCAGTAGCATGGATAATTAATCATCACCGGAAATCCGACAACATTAATGCTCCTCGAGACACCTGGTGTTGGTGTGGTTTCGTGGAAGGAGCACCTAGCTAGGAGTTAGCAACCTGGCACATATCTCAGATTGGCCTGATTGATGATCCTGGGAAAGTTGCTTGTGTTCTCTAGATTTCAATTTTCTTATCTGTAAAATGAAGGGATTGGATATGGTGATTTCTGAGATCTCTTATAGTTCACAGGAAAGATTTATTTTGTGTATACTTTCTGCAGGCCAAGTGCAGGCTCCAGCAATGCAGAGACCAAAAAAACAAAAATAGGTCCCTGTTCTCAAGGGGCTCATAGTCTTGTAGAGACAGCACTTCGGTCCTCCAATTCTATATCTTTATAATTTTTCATCCTTGATGAGGTTTTCATTTAAAATAAATGTAGCTAGTATTTATTGATAAGGCAACAATGGAGGGGAAGGGGAATGGCAATGGATTGGGCACCAGTTGAATGTGTAAAAGTAAAACGTGTTTTATAGAAACAATATTGCATGTAAACCCCATGCTCAATTATAGAGAAGACATATATACTCATTTACAATAGGGAGGCTAAAAGGTATTAAATAACTTTCTTAAAGATTTACAATCAGGAAGTTGCAGATTCAAAACCAAAGTTAAAAATCAGTCCTGTTTGAAACCAAAATCCAAAGTTTCCCTCTCCATCATGCTGTCACCCTAGTTGAAGACTGCAAGATGTGGCCCATGAAAGGGGAGATTATTGGCTATTTGAAACTGATAGCAGCATTGAAAATTGATTGTACTGCAATGAGAAATTAGACCAAACAAATATCTGCTAAGTATTAACTGAGTCGCTGAGTGTTTGGTGGGTTTACCTGAACAGTGGGCTAGCTTAAAGTGAAGCTGGGAACAGTTCCAAATGTCACCAAATGTTACTGACTCTTGAAGTCTCTGCTTGGACCACAGGTCATTTGAAATCCAAGCCACATTCCCGAAAGAGTCCCTGCTCTCCATCCTGATCTACGATCACGACATGATTGGGACAGATGACCTCATTGGTGAGACCAAGATAGATCTGGAAAACCGCTTCTACAGCAAACACCGAGCCATCTGTGGCTTGCAGAGCCAGTATGAGATGTAAGTTCTTTCTCTCTGGGAGATACTTGGTATTCTGAGGCTGTTGTAGCCTTCAGAGCTCTGGACTCTGCATCTCATGTCCATCTCTAGGAAGGCCAGACCCGGCTCAGCTTTAATGTCTCAAATGGGCTTCACATCAGCATAGCTGGCTTGGGAGACTCTGTTCAGTGCACTTAGAAATTGTTGTGACTGGGGAGGCAGCTCTGATTTAGAAACAAGGGCAGGTTCTTCGAGAGACAAGATCTAAATGTATATGTTCACTCAGATGTATCTTGAAATAGGGTTCCCTGGTGGAGGATAATGCTAGAAGAAGAAGAATTAGTATAATATAAATGCCAGTATCTGAGCTAATTATAACTAACAGTCATGTGCTTTTGATAACAGAGCACTTTACATGGAGTATCTCATTCAGTTTTCTGAACCACTCTTTGAGGTGTTATCCACATTTTACAAAGGAAGAATCAACCCAACTTTTACTCTTTTTTCATATGTATTTTTAATTTTTGTGGGTACATAGTAGATGTATTCATATAGATGGAGTATGTGACATTTCGATACAGGCATACAATGCATAATAATCACATCAGGGTAAATGGGATATCCACCACTTCAAATACTTATCCTTTCTTCATATTACAAACAATCCAGTTATACTCTTTGAGTTATTTTAAAATAGACAATAAATGATTGACCACAGTCACCCTGTTATGCTATCAGATACTGTATCTTATTCTCTCTAACTATATTTTTTACTCATTAACCATCATCCACTCTCTAGCTCCATGAGTTCAAGTGTTTAAGTGAGAACATGCAAAGTTTGTCTTTCCGTGCCTGGTTTATTTTACTTGACCTAATGTCTTTAATTCATTTTGATTTTATTTTTGTATATGGCAAGATATAGGGGTCTACTTTCATTCTTCCACATCTGGGTATCCAGTTTTTCCAGCACCATTTATTGAAGAGACTGTCCTTTCTCCGATATATCCTTTTGGCAGCTTTATTGAAAATAAGTTCACTGTAGATGAAGAGATTTATTTCTGGGTTCTCAGTTCTGTTCCATTGATTCATGTGTCTGTTGTTATGCCGGCACCAAGCTGTTGTGGTTACGATAGCTCTGTAGCATAATTTGAAGCCAGGTAATGTGATTCTTCCAGTTTTGTACTTTTTGCCTAGAATAGCTTTGGCTATTTTCTGTCTTTTGTGGTCGCATGTAAATTTTAGGATTGTTTTTTTCTATTTCTATGAAGAATGTCATTGGTACTTTGATAGAGATTTCATTGAATCTGCAGATTGCTTTGGGTAGTATGGACATTTTAACAATACTGATTCTTCTAATCCATGAACATGGAATATATCTCTGGTTTTCTGTGTCCTCTTCAATTTCTTGTACCAATGTTTTATAGTTTTCATTGTAGAGATATTTTATCTCTTGAAGTTTATTCCTAGGTATTTCGTTTGTAGCTATTGTAAGTGGGATTACTTTCTTGATTTTTATTTCACGCTGTTCACTGTTGGCATATAGAAATGCTACTGATTTTTGTACCTTGATTTGGTATCCTGCACCTTTATTACATTTGTTTATCAGTTCTAATAATTTTCTTGTGGAATCTTTAGGTTTCCTTCAAATATAAAATCATATTATCTACATACAAGGATAGCTTCTTCCTTTCAAATTTGGATGCCTTTATTCCTTTTTCTAATCTGATTGCTCTAGCTAGGACTTCCAGTTCTATGCTGAGTAACAGTGTTGAAAGTGGGCATCCTTGTTTTGTTTCAGATCTTAGAGGAAAGGCTTTCCGTTTTCCCCATTCAGTATGATCCTAGCTGTGGGTCTGTTGTGTATGATTTTTATTGTGTTGAGGTATGTTCTTTCTATACTCAGTTTTTTGAGGGTTTCTTACATTAGGAAGGGATGTTGAATTTCATCAAATGCTTTTTAAAATGATCATATGGCTTGTATCCTTCATTCTGTTAATATGATGTATCACACTGATTGATTGTGCAGATTGAATGATCATTGCATCCCTGGGATAAATTCCACTTGACCATGATGAATGATCATTTTAACATGTTGTTGAATTTGGTTTGCTAGTGTTTTGTTGAAAATTTTTCTTGAACATTTTTGCATCAGTGTTCGTCAGGGATATTTGCCTATAGTTTTCATTTTATGATGTGTCTTTGACTGGTTTTGGTTTCAGGGTAATACTGGCCTTGTAAAATGACTTCGGAAGCATTTTCTTTTTCTGTTTTTCAGATTGGTATTTGTTAGTCTTTAAATATTTGTTAAAATTCAGCAGTGAATCATCAGATCCTGGGCTTTTCTTTGCTAGGAGACTTTTTATTATAGCTTCTATTTCATTACTTGGTTATTGGTCTATTCAGGTTTTAAATTTTTTCATGGTTCAATCTTGGTAGGTTGTATGCTTCTAGGAATTCATTCATTTCTTCTAGGTTTTTCAATTTATTTGCTAATAAATTTCCAAATGTTTCAATTTATTCCTAACTTCATTAGCAACTTCTAATGGTCATTTAAATTTCTGCAGTATTAAATTTCTGCAGTAATGTCTCCTTTTTCATCTGTAATTTTGTTTATTTAGGAGTTCTCCTATTTTTCTCAGCCTGGCTAATGAGTTGTCACTTTTCAGAAAACCAGCTTTTCATTGTGTTAATCTTTTTGTTTTTTCATTTCGATTTCATTTATTTCTGCATTGATCTTTATTATCTCTTTTTTTCTCCTAATTTTGGATTTGATTTGTTCTTGATTTTCTAATTCATTAAGATGTATTGTTAATTTGAAGTTTTTCTACCTTTTTGATGTGGGTGCTTGTTGCTATAATCTTTCTTCTTAGTACTGCTTTCATTGTGTCCCATAGGTGTTGGCATGTTATGTTTCCATTTTCATTTGTTTCAAGAAATTTTTAATTTTTATCTTAATTTCTTCATTGTCCCACTGGACTTTCAGGAGCATATTGTTTAATTTCCATATGCTTGTATAGTTTCCAGATTCTCTTGTTATTGATTTTGAGTTTTATTCCATTGTGGTCAGAGAATATACTTGATATCATTTCAATGAAAAAAATTTTTAAAGACTTGGCCTAACATATGGTCTCTCCTCGAGAATGTCCCATGTGCTACTGAGAAGAATATATATTCTGCACTTGTTGGTTGAAATGTTCTATAAACATCTATTAGGTCCATTTGATCTAAAGGGCCAATTAGTTCCAATATTTCTTGGTTGGTGTCCTGTCTGTTGACCTGTCCAATGCTGAAAGTTGGGTGTTGAAATCTCCAGCTATTATTGTATTGGGGTCTATCTCTCTCTTTAGCTCTAACAATATTTACTTTATATATCTGGGTGTATCATGGTTGTGTGTGTGTGTGTGTGTGTGTGTGTGTGTATGCGCAACTATTATATCCTGTTGCTGAACTGACCCCTTTATCATTATATAATGACCTTCTTTTTCTCTTTTATAGTTCTTGTCCTGAAATCTGTTATCTTATAATAAGTATACCTACTTCTGTTTTTTTATTCCATTTGCATGTTACGGTTTTTTCTAATTCTTTATTTTTAGTCTCTGTGTATCTTTATAGGTAAAGTATTTTCTTGTAGGCAACAGTTATTGGGTCTTGTGTTTTTATCCATTCAGTCACTTTGTGTCTTTTGATTGGAGAGGTTAGCCCATTTATATTCAACATTATTACTGATAAGTAAGGACTTACTGCTTCCATTTTAAAATTTGTTTTTTGATTGTTTTGCTGTCTACTCTTCCTTTTAGTGAAGGTGATTTTCTCTGGTGGTGTGTTTTAATGTCTTGCGTATCTGTTGTATGTGTTTTATTTGATGTTACCATGAGGCTTGAAAATAATATAACCCATTATTTTAAGCTGATAATGGCACTAACTGCATAAACAAACAAAATAACAAGCAAAAATAGAACTGATGAAAACTCTATATTTTAACTTCATCTCCCTGCTTTTTAACTTTTTGTTGTTTCTACTTATACCTTATTTTACTGTCTATGTCTTGAAAAGTTGTAGTTATTATTTTTGGTTGGTTCATATATTCATCTTTTCACTTAAGATATGAATAACGAATATACCCCAATTACAGTGTTATAACATTCTGTGTTTTTCTGTGGACTTACTATTACCAGTGAGGTTCCCACCTACATATAATTTCTTATTTTCATTAACATTCTTTTCTTTCAGATCAAAAAACTCCTTTTAGCATTTCTTATAGGACAGGTCTGGTGTCGATGAAACCCCTCAGTTTGTTTGTCTGGGAAAGTCCTTATTCTCATTCATATTTAAAGAATATTTCCCCTTATACTGTTCTAGGATAAAAGGCTTTTTCCTTCAGTACTTTAAATGTCATGCTACTCTCTCCTGGCATTTCCACTGGCAGCAGATTTCTCCTGGTTTCCGCTGAGACATACTGGAACTCCTTTTTATGTTATTTATTTTCTCTTGCTGCTTTTGGGATCCTTAGTTTCTCCTTGACCTTTGGGAATCTGATTATTAAATGTTCTATAGTCTTCTTTGGATTAAATCTGCTTGGTGTTCTATAACCTTCTTGTGCTTGAATATTGATATCTTTCTCTTGGTTTGAGAAGTCCTCTGTTGTTATCCCTTTGAATAAAGTTTCTACTCTGATGTCTCTCTCTGCGTCCTCTTTAAGGCCAGTAACTCTTAGACGTGCCCCCTTTGAGTCTATTTTCTAGATATTGTAGGCATGCTTCATTCTTTTCTATTCTTTTTTCTTTTGTTTCCTGACTACTTTCGAATAGCCTGTCTTGAAGCTCACTAATTTGATTAATTCTGCTGTTAAGAGACTGTGATGTATTCTTCAGATATATCCATTGCATTTTTCAGCTCTAGAATTTGTTTTCTTTTAATCACTTCAATCTCTTTGTTAAATTTATCCCAGAGGATTCTGAATTCCTTCTTTGTGTTATCTTGAGTTTGTTGAGCTTCCTTAATGCAACTATTTTGAATTCTCT